CTTGTCCACACCCACCTATAGCTGTGTGGGAGTCTGCAGCACTATGTGTATAGCTTATGTAATCGTCCGCTTAGGATTTGGCCAGCGGTAAAGTGTCTATCTCATTCATGTTTGGATTGTTCAAGCACGTGCCAAGCCCATGTGGTATATCACTATGCACTACCACATAGCTAGAACTATATATAAAGGGGGTGTTAAAGAACATCTTGGATTGTGTGCTAATATAAAATGTGGTATCTATTTAAGAAATGTAAGACATGTCCTAGGCAGTAGTCAAGCATTTTGCCAGACTAGCGAATGTTCCCAAAATAGTGTGATATAAGCAAAAATCATACAATAAGAAAAGAAGTCACAGAGACTTTGAATAGCTGGCTTTCCACTTTTGTAGGTGGCCTTCAGCCTCCTTCAGTTTAATCTTCATAATCTTGTAAAATATTCCTTCTGCTAATGTGTCTATGCTGCTTGCAATATGCTGTCTTTATTAACAAAGGCTGTCTTTGAAGCTGAGAAATCTGATGAGGTTTTGCTAGAACTTCTCAGTTTCCTAAGTGTTTAAAAGAGATAAGTAGCCATGTAATATGATAACTTAAGGAGATGAGAGATACTGATGAGAAAAATAAAACTGGTTGTCTGCCATAATCCTGCACCTTTGAATTTAATCACAAAGTTTGACATTATACCCTTTTTAGAACATTGCAATTAAAATCTGTCTTTGTCAGTTGTGATTCAATTCCTGCTCTTAACAAAAAGGCTTTCTTTTTCTAGAAATAATCGTAGGACATGTTCTAATTTGTTTAATTTGGTTTTTGTGTATTTGTTTGCTTATCATGAATGCTTTCTTACTTTTGTGGAAGCTACTGAAACTAGGTAATGGAGTTAATGATTAAATTTAGATTACATTAATTCTAGGTCTTGTTTTGCAAGTCTTGGTAAGAGCAATGCCTTCTGGAACTCTAGGGAAACATCTGTTTCCCTGTTGTACTTAATTCAACATTCAGCATTTTGCAGCAGAAGATTCATCCTCAAAAGAAGCTTTAATATTTCCTCCTATTTTACAGAGGAAAGAGTCAGGATGTCAATGGATAAAATTGAAGAATATTTTCTACTTGATTCAAATTAAATTCATTTGAATTAAATACATCTTTAAAACACAATTACCTTCCTTCTATAGAGACAAAAGAACAGTTCACATATGAGAAGAAGAGAGCAGGAGTTACCCACATCCACTTAGGAAGTCTGGTTTCACAGCACATCTGAATCTGGAAACTCTTCTTTGTTCTGATAGTTAAAATAAGTGAAACAAATTAGGATCATACAATGTTTTGATACTACAACTTGTTAACTAACCACAGTTAACATACAATTCACTGGGTTTGAACATAATGGGAGACCATAGTTTGTGAATGGGTGTACTTAGATGATCATATCTGAGCTTATTAAACCAAAACATGAATGAGTTCTTTGCCTACATATGAAGCTGATTTTATCCTCTATTTGGATATGTTTCAATTAAGCCAGGAAGTTTCTAATTTACCAGGAAATCTCAGTTACCAGCTTAGAATAAGCCAGGATATTGTAAGCCGCCCTGAGGCTTCTGCGATGGGTGCGGCATAAAAATGTTATAAATGAATGAATGAATGAATGAATGAATGAATGAAATTAAACCATAGTTTGAAACTGGTTTAATACCCTGGCCTGTTCTGTACCTGGTAACCATACTTTCCTGGATCAGGAGAAACAGAAACCTATGATTATTTAAAGATTTCTTAGTCCATTCATGACTCACAGGAAGAGGTGAATGGAATACTATGTACATGGTTGAAAGACTTGTGTGTGCTTCAGCTTAATTAGCTGAGATATGATCATATAGACTGGATTATTATGCCTTTATCAGATCTATATTTTTCTATGCCAAACTGGTGGCCTACAAAATGATAGTGTGGATATCTAAAATCCTGTCTACTTAATTTAGGGAATTAAGTGAGTACTAAAATTAGACAAGAAGATTGAAAAGACGCCACAATAAATTATTTGCACATTTCTTCAGAAGAATTAGGGCAGATGTTCATGCCTGAACTGATGTTTTTGGGAAGGAGTCTGAGAAACTGAGAAAGATAATGGTGACAAGAGGTGAAGTACTAGAACTTACTGACAGATTGAAATCAAACTACTAGGTCTATATGTTATTCATCTGAGAGTTCTTAAACTCACAGGGGTAAATGCTGATCTTCTAGTTAAAACAGCAACATAATTTTAAAAAATAAATGTAATATCCCTGCTCTGTTTTAGCCATGCACATATGGGAATGCAGCCTGGAGGGGGTTTTGGGATAAAAATGGTCCCTTCTCAGAGTTGCCCACCCTGCTCTGATATTCTTAAAAGACATTAATTTTGCTGAGTATATCTAATAAGGTTGTTGCACTAACACAAATTAGCATAAGGGACTTCTATCTGAGCACAGAGAGAATTAGGATTTTTTGGGAAATCCTGCTGTGTAATCTACTGCTATTGGCATTCCCTTATACTAGGGTAACATTGCACTGTTAAACTGACATAGTTGGATACTGCTGCATATGCTGTTTCAGCCCCTTCCCCATTCTAAATATCATGCAAATCTGTGTTTTTTCCATTCTTTACAGCTAGTAGGGTCAGTGCTGCCCCGCTGGAATGATTAAGACTGTTTAAAAGCCATGTACATACATGGGCCTATATTTGGAGTTGATTAAGCGCTGGGTTGATCCTGGACACTTAACTTGCATATCAGCAAACAAGTGGAGGAGCAGAGGCCATCTTGGTGGTTGATTCAGTGGCATAAAATTGCTTAACTGCATGCTGCTTGTAATAATTTTGTCTATTCTGCTCATGAAATTGTGAAATGTGATGATCGTGCGTGTGGTTTGATTGGGTGGCAAATGCTTTGGTTTTAAGTTCTATGAAATTTGTTGTTCTAGGTTACCACCATTCAGGATTATGCAATCGCTGTGTTCATGTGTTTTAGATTTTTAAAATTAAGTAGACCCCAAACACTGTTCTTGGGTATTATAGTTTACACTGTATGGCATTATTGACCCTGACAGTTTCCTTGATCATTTTATTGTTTACTGGAAAATAAAAGTTCTCAGTAAGGCATGACTTCTTACTTGCAAATGGTATCACACATAATACTTCTCCAAGGTAAATTTATTTATTTATTTAAAACATTTCTATGCCGGCCCCATCGCAACAAAGCCTCGGGGCAGCTCACAAAGAATGCAAAAACATACCAAAAAAAATAATAAAACAATTAAAAGAAGAAGAAAAAACATTTAAAAATGTTATGTCTCCCTTGTGATATATTTGAAAATAAAACAGGTTGTTGCAGTACATTTTCTTTCAAGGGAGAGTTATACTGAACTTACAATATGTGTATAGATGTGACCCATAAATGGTGTGCACTATTCCTCTACCATGTTTCTTCACAAAATGATGTTAAAATGATGTTTCAATCTGTATCGTACAGGGAAGGAAGTCAGATTTTTCTGGAAAGGTAGAAGAAGCAGTTGGGCTAGGCAGATTCATGTGTTCAATGTCATTTTCAAGATACCATTTTTCCCTTATGTGCTGGCGTCTGTTACTCTTTAACAGCCTTTCACTGAATATCAATTAAAGCAGAAATCAGCTACTGAAATATTGGGATTTTAGCCAATTTGATGCAGCGGATGTTGATTAGAAGTTGCATGAAAATATTGTTTCAGTTTTGCTTAGTTTCTTATCTCTGAAGATGTCAGGACTTAAGTTTGGTATTTCATTTTCCTGCATTGCTGTCCAGGGAAAAGTATCTTTTTTCACCTCCATGCAGGGAGGTTTGTGCCAGAGCTGCTTAGCAGATGGCACTTTAGTGGTGAGCAAGGCCCCTACTCAGATTTTAAGCATATTATGGAGGTCTATCAGACTGGTGAATAATATCCCCATCCCTCCCCTTGTGTTACTAACAATCTTCTGCCCAAGTGGTGCAGTAGACGACCATCTGTCCATCCAGACTATACTTTAAAGAAGGTTGCCTTCTATTTTGACAAGTCTACAGAAGTGAAATGTGTGCCTACCTCTTAAATAGCACATGTTTTACGTTGCTATGTACATGGTAAATACTGTCTCACCTTCTATATTGCTTGGACAAAAAAATGTTTGGGTTGTCTTAAATCAGTTTTTGATCAAATGATTTGCACACGTCTGGTGGGGAATAAGATTTAGTGCTATATATCCAACAACATGTGAGTCTGCTTTTGTTGCTCTCTCTGCTATATAGGTCAGAAATCTCCATAGAGTGTCCCAACTCTTCAGAGCAAATTTAGGGGGAACACAGAGGCTGTAGAAAAGAGAAAGAATCTGTTCTGCTAATGATATAACATTAGATGCAACACTCAATTTTCATTACTATTACGCATTGCTATTTACGTAAAGCGTATTTGTAGATCATCTAGATGGAACAACAGACTTGAAAGTATGTCAGTTTGTAAAACCTATGAAGCCAGAACTTCACAAATACTTTTGATTCGTAGAATTTTTAAGAGCAGAGATTTTATTGGAGAAATAATAATAATAATAATAATAATAATAATAATAATAATTGTATTTTTATTTAATTTATATACTGCCCCATCTCTGAGGCTTTCTGGATGATTTACAAGTATAAACAGTAAAAATACTTAGAGTTAAAATTAAAAGATTTAAAATTTAAAATAGTTCAGGTCAACTAGATAAGTTATTTTTGTTTGTTTAATTATTTTGGGCATGATATATAAGAATTCACTTTTGGTCTCAAATCTTGGACCTGTTGTTATGCCATCGAGTACCAGTTGTCTGGAACCTTCCCGCTTTACTCAGGTGGATGCTTCTGTAATGGGGAGAAGATGTCGTAGTGTGTAGGCAAATAAATCGGTAATGATATTATGCTCACCTCTTGCTTTAGAGTGTGTATAGCAACAAGTTTGCTAATAGTGCCTTTTCTTCTCCCTCTACAGAATGTGACAAGTTGCGGAGAGATGGCTATAGAAGTTCTCAGTACTATTCTCAGGGCCCTACCTTCTCATCCTCTTCCAGTGCGCTCTGTGGAAGTTACCAAGAAGGCTATGAAGAGGTTGAACAAAAGGTGAGGTAGCAGGTACCTGAGGAAACGATCCGAAACTTCAGCTATCCCACTAACCACTCTGCAAATAAGCCACCATGGGTTGATTGTAGGCTCAGTAATCCAGTTACCATATGCTGGGTGCTCTGCAACTTGCCATTTCCAGTTCTCCCACCAGCTCCCAGCATGTATCCCAGGCACCTTCACAGCAGAAAATATAATTTCTTTGGTCCCTACATAGCACCCTTTCTGCAATTGGTCCAGCAAGGTTGCCTGCTCCTGATGAAACTCTTGCATCCTCATGTCAAATAAGCAAATGGAATTAATTTCCTGAGTTCTTCTGAATGTAGCAGCTTTCTTAAGATCTTGAGCAAGAGCACAAGATTGCCTATCCCATTTAACCAGTCATTTTGATATTCCCCCTCTTGTCATTGACTGTGTCAGTTTCATTCCCCTCTTCAGCACATCATTTGCTAATGAGCACATCACCACCACCACCACCATCATCATCATCATTTTGGTGGCTGCTTCACCTCCTCACAAAGTAAATACACCCCAGAAATCACTTTCTTGCAGCAGTTTGCCATTTTCTCCTTGATCCTCTTTGTCCTTGCCACTGGCTGCCATGTTAGCTGTGAGTTTACACGTGGATAACAGAGCAGTGAAATGGATTGTATATGCAGGGAAATTTCAAGGCAGTTAAGGGTATCAGTAAAGAGTACAAGAATTTCAAGTTAAATTTCTGCAATGTCAAGGCAGGGATTGGTAAAACAGAGGAGAAAGTATGGAAATTTGATGACAGAGGAGATCACTAAAATATACACGCTTCATGTTGGAGCAGAAACACTGATGGGAAATTTACACAGATTGTATGGCACAGCAGTGAGGCAGATCGCTAACATATATGCAAATGTCATGTGGAACAGTGAACACTTCAACTGAGGGTAAAATTCTGCAATTTCAGTAGGGGCAGTCTTGCACATGTGTGTATCTGCACAAGATCTAAAATGTTAAAATACTGACTTGTTTTTAAAGTTGTGATTGTGTACTCCCTGTGGATTTTAGGAGCACAGGGTGGAGGGCACTGATACTGGATAAGGGAGGATGGCAGCAGCAAGATGACACGGAGTGGTAGAGCTTTTCACTGCTATTGCTAGTTAGTTATATATGATACCATGATGAAGTTGTTCTGACAGGTTCAGGCAACATGACAATCTACCCTGAACAACCCAACCACAAGCCATGAGTTCTCAGGGCGGGTTGTTCATGGTTGTTTATCTATTTATTTAAAACATTTATACCCCATCCACCACTTTGACCACTTGGGATGGCTTACAACAAAGAATTGTTGTGAATTATATCATGTGAACCAGGTTAGTGTGGTATCTTACATAAATAATCCAAAATTAAATCAGCATAATACTATTTATGTGCAAAATACACTTTTCTTCTCTTCCATATTCAGAAATGATAAGCTGAAAGCTGTTTTAAATGCACCACTTTTTAGCCTTATTCAAGTACTATAGCTCAGCTTAAAGGAGAAAATAATACAATGACAACATTCCAGACAAAAGCAGTGATTTTAAAACAGGTTAGGTTAATTTTAGCTGCTTTTATGAACAAGTAGAAAATAAAACCATTATTCCTTTTCTAAATCATCTAGCTTTATATAAAATACAAAGAAAATTCAGAGTTCAGCCTTCCTTTATTCCATCCCTGGTATTTCTTCCTCTAGAATATTCCAAAAATAAAAGACTAGGTCACTCCTCCTTGCATTTTTCTTAATTTGCAGTTGGAAATGCATAAGATGGACTGAGTGCCATTATGTTCTCTCTTTTCAATGCTTCTGTGCATTGTTTGCTTCATTATGATCTATATACAACTTGTTCTTGGTCCTGATAATAAAATCTATTTATCTGTATGATTTTTCTTAAGAGTGTCAAATTTACGGCATAGTGAATGCTTTCAGTGGCAAAGGCATTAGTTATAGCCCTTGTCTGTGCTTGCACATGCAACTGAACGTGGTATAACCTAGCGACATAGCAGTCATGCTCCTTTTCATAAATGTACCAAAGTTATTTATTTATTTATTTATTTATTTTATTTATTAAAACATTTCTATGCCGCCCCATTCGCCGAAGCCTCGGGGCGGCTCACAACATTAAGTTAAAATACAAACATTAAGTTAAAACATTAACATAATATTAAGTTAAAATGTTTGTAAAATACAAACATTAAGTTAAAATGCAAAAAAATAAAATAAAATAAGTCACCCTCGTCAGATAAAATCAAATAATATTAACAATTAAAATGACGCTTAAATAAAAAGGTCTTTGCCTGGCGCCGAAAGTTATATTTTTTGCTGACTAACGTATTATGATAATCTCTAGTGTATATAATTCCAGCATGCTTAACTTTATTTCAGGCAGCTGTGGATCCTCACGCAGGTGCTATATCAAATGTCTCCTGATTGCTATGTATTAGTTTGCAAATTATGTAAACTTAGTGCCCTGATGAAGCAGTATGGGAATGTTATGAGTCATGCTTATATCATGAACAACGGTTGCACATGTGTATTGATACGCAGTATCACACGCCTTTAGTTCTGAAAATGATCACTATATAGTTAGTCCACAGCAGGTTTAGAACTTTTCTGGAAAAGTACATCTTCTATTTTAAAAAATGGAGGCATGCCACTATTCAAGGTTAGATAATGAGTGACATATCTCAGCTTGAAACTAGTGAGCTGCTGCTGTCAGAGCAGAAAATAACGTGCTAGATAAAGAAATAGTCTGGTCATCTTTGCACGTTGCACATGATATTGATGGATGTTATTTGATGTACATTACACCTTGCCACAATGAAATGATGGCTTTCAGTATTAAAATCAAGATCGAAATGAACTCATAAAAATCAGAGATCTTAATGACACAATTAAATGCACAACAAGAGCTGAAATAAAGACAACAACCAGCTAAACAGAACCTGCTTCAGCACCTGAGAAGGTTGCATACAAAAGGTCCATACACTCAACCTACAAACAAATGCATGTTTGGAGCTGGTTGGGATGAATCACATAAAGCCCACTTTTTGAAGTGTGAACTTTCCTTAATTCAAAGCAATATTTGTAAGAGCCTGCTGAGGCACTTTCCATGGGCCCTTCTCTTAGTACTTTACTTCTCCACTGTGAACCTGCTGAAGTGGCTGTCTTTTTTAACTTAAAAACAGAAAAAAGATATTTGAGCTTTTACTTGAAGCATGGCAACCCAGTAGTATGCTTTATCTAATTTCCCTCTCTTCCTCACTTGTGTGCATTCTCTCTTTATGTAAAATGTGTCCATTAGCAACTCTTCTCTACTTTCTGAATGTTATGTATACTATTATCGCTATGTATACTGTGCCTGTTGTGTCTTTTTACATGTTTGATTTTTTCCATTCTCTTTTCTTTGCCACTCAATTCACTTTCTTTTTCTCTCTCACTCAACAGTCTAGTCTGTTAGACTGCCTCCCTCAATCTTGCCTTAGTGCCTGCTGTTGTTTGATTCCATGGAAGATCAAGGTATCTAGCCCCAAACTAGTTCATCCAGTTGCAATCTCTGCAGCTTGATGTTGCTGTCATGTTAAATATCCTCAGCTCTCATATGTGGGTTTATTTTTAAAGTATCACCTTCTGCTTCTGTACAAAATAAATATTGTAATACACTGAATTCTCCCATTCTTTTTTTTTATATTAACTCATGTGTTGATAATACAGAACCCTAATAGACTACTTTTTCCTGTTAACATTTGCAGATGTTCAGATGGGTGTTATGAATAATTACCTTTACAGCAGTTCTGAAATGTTAACAATGTAGGTTTTTATGGCTTTTCCATTTATTTATTTGTTTGTTTGTTTGCAAAAACAAACTAAATGTGCTTGAAATGGAAAAATACATTTCCAAATGCAAGACGTTATCTGGGCATTTCTAGACTGTTAATGAACAAGAGTGTGTATTAGGGACCCCCTGCCTTGTATGCTTTCCAGCAAGAAGAGCACATAAAGCAGGATTCTTGTTGTGGATCAAGCAAGTAAGGGCCTCAGTTCTACAAAAATCAAGAGGGAGTAAGGGAGACACTGGGCCAGATCACATGTCACAATAAGCCATCCTGAAAATTTGCTCTAGTAGGCTATTTGTTTGGTCATAAACCGACATTATTCAAGGCACACAGACAGGTGCTCTATGGCTTCCTATGGCTTGTTTCTCCTCTTTGTCTTCCCGATGCCTTCCTGCAGGTATCCCATGAACCTGAGCAGCACAACTTCAGCACATTATTCTGCTTATTTATCTATTCATAATCATGAGTGTGCTCGCAATAATTAGCAGAGTGGGTTGTAGATTTTTTAAAAATCCAGAGGAATTCATGCAAATACTTGCTGTACTATAGCTGAATAGTTAGCACTTTAGTGGATTTGTACAAATCTCCTGAAAGTTTTAAGTATGTTCAAATCTTCTCCAAGGCGGAGAAAATACAATATATATATATATATATACACACACACACACACACACACATTTTCCTAACTCTTTGTTGGGGTGTCTGTAAAAATGCTTAATTTTCTCAGATTGGAGGGGAAAATAACATGGCATTTCTGAAAATTTCCTCAAAGGTGAAGAAAAGTATAACATATTCTTTCAAAACTTTGTTAACATGAACAAATAAGTATTGTTGTTTAGGGAGGTGATAAAGTAGAGGAATAATGTGACTGGTATATTTTCAAGATGTAATAGGGAAAGGGATATTGTTCACAAGAAGCAGCTGGCAGGGTTTTTTTAAAAACCACTGTTGCAAGGCAGTTCTTTGATGTTTTAAATTATCCACACTTGAAGCAATTCTTCTGAGTTTGGATGTTATGTCAAGCCACCCTAAGCAGCTCTACTATATTCTATGGGTACTGTCTTGTTTGGAAAAAAGAAGCCATAGTTGAAAAGGTTTGCTGGATTTGGACTCCACTCTAGGCCACCCTAAACCATTCATGATGACAATCCATCATGCTTTGGACATGTTTTTAAATGGATTCATGGCTGATAATATCAATACCCAAGTCCATAAAATAAACAATTCTCTGTATTTTTTAACTTGGTTTTAATTTGCAAAACTTAAAACTCAATCTGAAGGTCTGCTTTTAGGAGAAGCAGGAATGAAAACAATAAGAACTGAAATTGATAGTATTCTGATGTATTGTGGAAAACTCAGTTTGTATGCTTAGCTGTGTTTCTTTTCTAATGATGATATATTTCCTGAGCCAATCGCATTGTGCAATAAATGTGAGAAAAACTCCCAGTGATTAAAAGTTTCAAGTTTCTTTGTTGTTAAGGGGAGGTTTTGGAAATTGAGTTTGCCACTGGATAAGTCTGCATTTCCAGGTGACCACTGAATAGAACATATGAGAACAAAACCTGTTTTTGTTAGAAAAAATTATAGGGAAGAACATTCTGAAAGCAAGAAAAGAAATTGGTAGCATTTGGGCTGATGAAGTAAGTAAATTAAAAGTAATTTCTGTGCTTGTTTACTTAGAAGCAAGTCCCATTGTATTCAGTTGGGCTTATTCTAAGATAAAGATGCATTGGATTGCAGCTTAAGTACATGACAGGCACTTTGAAATGGAATTTTACTAAGACTAGTTTTATTTAATTGTTTATATTTAATCTGAGTTTAATCATATGCTTGCATTGTTCTTATGCTGTAACTTAGCTTGAGAAGTCTTGAAAGCTGCATAATAAATTAATTGCATAAAAAGTAGGGCTTTACCTCATCAAAAGAAAGCACTATATTGAGAAAAATTGTAGTGTTTGATTTTCATGCTTTGTGAAATTAAGTAAATTCAAGATATATATTCTACTTAGCTTCAGAGAATGTTTTACTCATTGTTCTGGGTACTGATATCCCTGGTTTCAGTGTGACAAAAATAGGAACAGCTGCCTATTTAACCTCATTATTAGTTTAATGATCCCTCATAGAGCAGGGGTGAGCAATTTGTGGCCCTCCAGATATTTTTGTTTAGAACTCTTCTTAGTCCTAGGAACCAGAATAGCCAATAAAAAGGGATGACAAAAGTTGCAGACCAGATGACCTGGAGGACCACAAGTTGTCCACATCTGTCATGCAGCTATATTTGGAGATGTGGTCAGCCCTTCCCTTAGGCAGAGTGGGACAGCTGCCTCAGGCTGCTGATTTTGAGGGTCATAAAGGGCAGCAAATAGTCGCATTTTTACTGTCAGGGAAGCAGAAGGGTTCTGTAGGATTTTTGGATCTAGATAGCAAAGTAACTTTACCTTCTTTGAATACTCTTGACTAATGTTGACTGGTGCACCATTATTTGCTATCTTTGGTCAGCTCGGGAGACAAGCGAAATCTAAACCTTTTATATCTCTAATGATAGGGAAGATAAAACTGTTAGGATCTTTGGTAGTAATAACTTCTGTAGAGAATGTTATTAGGTATTCTTAAATATCCCTGATCTACAGGGCAAACCAATCTGCTCCTTTTCCATTACCACCTGACCTAGTATTCTCAAATTGGAAAAGGATTGACTTAAAATGAGTGTGCACCCCACACAGACTGTTGGATGTTGATAGGTCTAGGAATTTTAAAGTTGACATTTTCCAGACATTGGCCCATTCTGCAGTTAATAAAAACTTAATAGAATGGGTTGAGTATAAGTTGTTCTTGAGTAGTTGGTTATAATTACATGTGAACCCTGGTCCATGGTTTCACTCTGTGTTAACTATGAACAACACAAAGAGAAGTCATAGTTCATTGTGAATTCTGGTTAATAGCCCACAGTTAAGCCATATTTTGTGGAGCTTTATATGTAAAGCAGATCATTGAATGAAACCCCTACTTTAGCTATCCTACCCATCAGCTCCTGGTGACTGGCTTGCAGCAACTGGGTTCTTGGTTACAGTATAGGCTTGCCATAATGTCCCAGTTATTCATTATGACAGTGTCAGCCAAGCAAAGTAGGTTACTGTGGTTTATCATACAGGGCACCAAGTTTGAGGAAATAGCCTCCTGGCCCATAAGTGTAGAAGAAAAGGGGCAAAATCTATTGGCAATTATAGTAAGATAAATAAAAGCTGCATTTTACTAATTTCTGCTGGTCATGCATCTTCAAAACCAGCTCTGGACATGCAGAATGAAAAATAAGTTTTACCATGCCTTTGAGTAGATTACAGTAATAGATGATTTACTTTAAAACTAGCACACAATTAAGATGCCCTTTCCCTTTCAGCATTTATGTTGCTTTATAATGAGCATCATGCATACCATTTAGACATCTACTATGATTCAGAAAATACACAAATAGTTAAAAATCTGAGTGTGACTGTTATTTAGTGTTTTCATTGCTATACAAATTTTAAAGATGTGGGATTTTAAAATAGAAAAAATACCTTTTAATATTTATCAGAAAACTAATGAAAACTATCGTGCTAAAGTAGTTCAGTGCTGTGTCTGAGTGTTGTTGTTATATTGGGCTGTGCTTGCTTGCCTCAAAGAATGGCCTTAAATAGCAAGAAAGTAGACAGGGTTAATTATAAAGTTCTGAAATCAGTCAATCTCTTAACTTTGGTCAGAGACGTAACCCAAACTGACACAAGTATGAGTTTGCATTCCATGACAGGTGTAAATAACAGAGGATAGAACCACTATTCAAACTATGCAAACTACTGGCATTTAAATTATCCCTGTGAAGTTGTTGAAATTACAGTGCTTGTTTAGTGTTCACATACTTTGCTGTTTGGAAGAGAGTAAGAAACTGACCTCTTCTTATTTTTTCTTATAGTATGAGTTCTCAAATTTAATCACAGTAAATTTTCACAAACATAAGTGTACTTTAGCTCTTACTTTTGGTCAATAATATGTGCATTTAACAGATCTTGGAAATGGATCTGCTTATTTAAGGCACACAACATATGAAGAGGATGCTTACATGTTATCTTTAAATCATGCCCAAGATTTCTGGTTTTGTAATGTGCTCTTCATAGATTGTAGTATATTCTTGGAAGTTGTGTTGCTTATATGACAATATTTGGTCCTAAGCAGAAACAAAGTGACTTTTTGAAAAGAAGGCTTTCCTTTCATTGTTAGTAATGAAGCTAACAGATCAAAAGAAGAGATGTACCACAACACACAATAAATTGCTTTAAAAGATATGTCTAAAACTGTAGCTTACAGGAAATAAAGGGGTTATACTTCCTGATCCCTCTTTGTTGACCATCAGTACAAAAGAATAGTACCTTCATAGATGGAACTGCGCTCATATTTTGTCATCTTCTAGTTCAATAGAACAGGAATAGATAGAATTCCTAGGAATAGAAGTGCCTCTTGGTGACTGTATTTGACCCTTGTATGGGAACTTCAGAACACAGATAGGATGTGAAGTGACCAAGTCACCTTCTAGATGGTGTTTATCAAATCATTTCTGGTTAAAAAAAATGAAGAATTATTATGACATTCTTGTTTTTTCTATTAAAGCACTGTATTAGATATTAATATTCAGAATACTATCTTGTATAAGAAGATTTAAGTCAAGCTCTAAAGCCCCCTTTTAAAATTACGTAGTGTTTCTTTGTTCGTACAAGATCTGGCAACAAACTAAGAAAACTTAATTCATTTGTAGATAGATCAAGCTCTCGATACTTTATTTCTTTCTACAAGTTGTAAAGGTGAAAGCATGGCAATTGTTTTGTAATACGCGGTGCTTTTTAGGAACAATTTCAGTAGTTTTATTTTACATCAGCAGGATAAATATGTTGTGAACCACCCAGAAAGCCTTATGGCTAACAGGGCAGCATACAAGTCAAACAAACAATTTACTTAGTGTTCCTTTTTTATAGTGTTCAACCCCTTCTTCTGAAGAGGAAAAGCTTATCAGTATCAAGAGACCCAAAACACCAATTTCAAATGAAATTTCTGATATCAACACTCAAACAAATTGGACCAAATCGCTTCCCTTGCCAACACCAGAAGAGAAAATGCGACAGCAAGCTCAAGCAGTCCAAACAGATGTTATACCTATTAACGTAACAGGTAAGCCATGAAAGTAACTTTTTGCTATGCGGCAAGGAAGAACAAGAGATCTCAAATGGATATTGATTTTTATTTCATGTAACTATATGTTTTGTGGATTGTGATTTAAGATGTAACGGAAGTATTTCTGAAACTTACAAGAGAAGTACAACTTTGTTAAAAGTACTAATTAAACTACTAGTGAACTCTTGGGGAACAAAAAAGTGCCTTTCCTTCTTAAGGAAACATAAAGAATGTTAGTAAAAAGGCACCTCTAGCATCATGCTTCTTGAAACCCAGTAGTAATAGGTTCCCAACAAAAAGATTCACACTGAATGTGTTTTTTTCCTAACTACTCTTTTGTAAGACTTTAAGATTTGTTTCTCTTTTAAACAGTGAAGGAAATTTCACATTGTTTCTCTACTGTGGTACTTGTGTCATCATAGTAGAAAGATTTGTGGTGCATACAGTCAAGTGGTATGCTTAAGGACCTTTGAAATGAAGCATATACGTCACCTATCTTAGCCTTAAAATGATAGCTACCAATAAGAAGCACTTTTAAAACTGTTTACAAAAGCTGTGCTAGCTTCACAGATGAAATTTTAGTAATAGAAATCAGCTTGGAAACTCTCAAGTAACATCCACAGAAGACCACATGAATATAAAACCAAAAGTAGTCATACTGGCCTGCAAGGAAAATTCTAAATCCAGATCAGGATCTTCCTTTGGCTAAACCAACACATCTGAAAATATTGAGCAAATGTTTCATTCAGTTTGCTCATACTGACTCAGTCCATGAAATCAAAACAAGTCATTGTGATTTATTAAAGCCACTATGGCTTATTTCAGTTTGCAGTGTTTGCTGCTGTATGCCAGGCACAATTTCATGAGTAGTTGCCCAGGCATGCTTGTTTGAGCAGATAAAACCTCAAATATGTCTTATCATTGTGTTATTTGATGGTTCTTTCCCCCTCCAATAAGCCATGCCATCCAGGTTTGGATGACATGACAAGCCTCAGCTGAGTAGGTGATCAGGAATATGTCACCAGTGTACACCAGAGATTAAAACAAGTTTGTTTGCTTGTACAGAATAATCCAGTTATTCCTCATGGAGTGTTTAAAGATCATGAGTAAGAGTGCTACCTCCTGACCACTCCTACTTCTACTTGGTAAACAGCCCAGGAACACCCTACTCCTGAGTCATGTTCCATGATGACTGAATCCAGAACTCTGGGTTGTTGAGGGAGAAAAAACCCAGAGTTTTTATGCACCAATAAATTAAAACTCAGATTGTGTTAAAAACTGTGTTAAAACTCCAGTTGTTTAATAGCTCAGAGTTTTAGGTTTAATGTCATGTAGCACAACCCAGGATATCTTGGGTTGTTTATTGAGGAAGAGTGTTCAGAAGGTAGCTTATTCAACTCCTGCATGGCCCTTACTACCTATTGCTTAAAGGATCCATATGTAAACATTACATGTGAACCTGGTCTTTGAGTTCTAAAGAACTCTTAATGAGATGGGAAGTTAAGCAATGCAGAATAGTGTGGGAGGGAGCAAAAACAAAGGCTAGCTTGGTGTTTAAGGCATAAAGTCTGCATCTTTCACTGTTTAGATGTAATCTAGGAGGGGGTTACCACATAAGGATTAGGCTGTCATAGGTATGATACAGGTTTCATATTATTTAGTGAGTAACTATAGAGGAAGGGACAAAACTGCAATGGTTGATTCATGATTTTCTGAAATAAAATAACCATCAGTTATCCAGATATGTTTCCAGAATTAAGGAAGACAGAAGTAAAGAGAAGTATGGCAGTTTTTACATTGGCAAAGGGGAATATTTTGTTTTATGGGATTCCCTTTTGTACAGCTGGAGAGAAAATGCAGAACTGTACTCCTTTTCCACTAGAGACAGGGGTCTGTCATTCCCATGCAGGTACCTGATACAGCAAGGAGCCCAGGGCTCCTCTGCAAGCATATGCCAAAGTCTAGGTGGCCTGGGGCACAAGTAGATGAGATCCGGTAAGCCCCATACCCTCCTATTGTTGTTTACATTTTGAATTACATAATGTACTTTACATTGTTATGGCAGTTGGCTGTATTTCATTAATAATCAATTTATTCAGGCACTCCTTTTTCCTATGTATTTACTGATAGCCCTTTAACCCTAATATCTTATTAACAAGAATTTCAGTGTAATGCAATAAGTTGATACCAATAAGAATAGTTTAAAAAATAAATTCTAAGGGAAGGAATTCTAAATGCAGAAATTCTAAAGGACAGAAACTAGTGGATGTCGCTATAACTATTCCTGCACTCACTAAACAATTACACAAACTAATACATCTAGTTGCTTCCATTACCAAGTTATGCCTTCTGGAAAGTATGGATGGCACAAGTGTTAAAAGACCAAAACAAAACAAAATGAAACAGGATTTTAACAGTAAGGGAATTATATATTTAGAGCAGTCGCAGTTTCATCCCATTTAATACTCAAAGTATATAAGGTTGTTCCTAGAAATAGGGAAAAAACCCTTCAAATAAATTCAGTTATACTAAATAACTTCAGAGCGGGGTAGTTAAGCTGCTATCCTCCAGATGTTTTGTACCACAACTCCCAGAAAATTTTACTATTGGCTGCTGTTGATGGAAGTTGTAGATCCAAATATCTGGAAGATATCAAGTTGTTCATTAGAAACTAAGGTTGCATTGGAACTTTATTATGAGTAAGTATGTATAAGATTGTACTGTAAACTTATAGAGAAATGTCCCCTCTGATACTTACTTGTGAAAAGAAGATAGCCATAAATATTTTTGTTCTACACCACTGTTTTACAAAATTGAGATGTAAAGACTGGGGACATAAATTTGCCTCCTTGTCTGAACTTTTATCAGAGGATAATAATGTTGATATATGTCTAAGTAAGCAACAATGGATTAGTCTGCTACTCACAAAAATATTAATATTTATGAAATAAAACATTACCCAAAGATGTACTATTTTTAGAAATTAAGAGACTTTTAAATAAAATTAGTTATTAATAAATATGAGCTTCCACTTGGTTGCAGAACAAATGAGACCTCCTTTAGTTTGTGTATTAGTGCCCTTCAGCAGGACAGATTGTAGTATTACTGCAAATCTGGTGGGTAACCTGAAGGTGTGGGTGCATCGCATTAATCTGACAAGCTGCTGCTGACTATCCAGGTTTGGGAACGGATTTAGTTTGGTCAGCAGAAGCTGAGCTTGCTTTGGAGGGATATACTCAAAGTTTTAGTCTTCAGAGGACTAAATGCATTCATCCTGGGACACATGATAATGGGAGCTGGTGATGCTGAGCTAAAGCATAAATAAAAGATAAAGGGTTTCATTCTGCAAATTACTTCAGTATCACTGACTTTATTGGACTCCTTGGTGAACAAGAGATATTTATGCAGGCATGTATAAATGTTCTGCCTGATTGTGGCCAAATAAGGCTGCTGAAAAGTTGTTTTTAAAACAATAAAATGCAAATTTAAGTTTTAAATAAAAGCAAGCTTTATTTGCAAGTTTCCTAATAGCTTTGATACATGTGATCTTGGGTGAATACAGCCAGCCTTTACCAAGTGGAAACTCACCAAAGTGTATAAATGGAAACTTGGTATACCATCCATCTGTAAAATCATACAAAATAGTGAGCATAATTTTATCACACACATAAATTGGATCAGAAATCTGATGAAACAGAAAAAAAAAATCTTAACCAAACTATAGCCTAACCAATTAGTTACCTCCTAATTTTCTGTATTTACTCTCTGACTTGTTGTGTAACATTTGGCACTATATCCTTATCATGGATTTTGGTGCAGTGTGAACAACCATGATACAGCTTTTTGTATACATGGAAACTTATGACCCTTTTTCCTGCTATGGCTACTGGTCCCTATTTCTCAAGCCTAAGTCATATAAGCGAGCTACTTTTGAATATCCACAGAATTTCAGTAGCTTTTGTGATTGGAGATGGAGTACTTCTATTCAGTGAAAATCAAACAAAATTACTCCTCCCTTCTCAGCATGCACAGTAGGGCAGGTCTGTGGACTGAAACCCTTAATCTCTAAAACTCCTGATGCTACTCACTTCCTCATCTGCTAAACTAGTAGTGTTGCAAAGGTTTCACTTAACAAAAACGATTTCTTTGATAGAATAATATCAAATATTATCCAGGGGAAAGCAAGCCCTTTGTGTATGGTAGCTGAGGATGGAACAGATGTTCTTTAACCTTTGCTTCTGTGTTCTGGAGAAGTCTTGGTGGTGCCTATTTGTGTGTATTCTGAATATATATTAAGTCTGTGGAATTTCTCCCATTTGTGTCTTACACTCTGATGAAGTATGGACACGTATGGCACACAATTCGCAGATCTAGCAAATGCCAAATGCACTTTTCAGTGAGAAATAACTTGTCTATCCAGACATTTAGAATAAAATTTGGAAGAGGCCTGATACCTGCCACTTTTCCTTTACTTGAATTAAAGAAGAATAAAATTACTGTAGAATAGAACTTGGCCGATGCAAATGTTTGTATAAACCATCCTGTGGATTTATAAGGTAGAGAAAATGTGAAGAACATGAAGTATTTTGACTGTAAATATATAAATGAAGTTCTAATTCTAAAATGCTTCAGTGTTTAACTAATTTGTAAACCACCTTCAATGGGAAAAGAAGTAGAATGTAAATTAAATTAAAATGGCCATGTTATTTATTCATTGAAAAGTGAATGTGTTTAAAGCTATTCAACCTCAGTTGTGCTGTTGGGCCCAAGGTTGATACAGCATACGGTCAACTATAAGGCTGTTTCCTCTTACAGACAGCATGCATACTTTTAAATTTGTCAAAACTCATTTGGGTTCAGTGGCTTTAGAAAATGCCGTATCCATCAGTTAATACATAGAACTGAGATTAGAAGTGCATGTGTAATATGGTGTGAATGTGACAAGTTCAGGGCAAACGTAAGCAAGCTTTCTCGTGCAGGGGAGAGTTTTTTTGGCGGGGGTACATAATTTAGGGGAAAAAAGAATTCCGAGCATCCACGGGCAGTCCCTTCAAGGTATCTCTGGGGCAACTTGGATGGAGATCTATCCAAAGGAGGATAGTGAATTGGCTTGACAGACAGCTTTCAGAATCTCCTACAAAAGGAGGTTTCAAAGAGAATCAAAACACACTGAACCCCAAGCAGAAATGAGGCAGGGAGTTTTGTTCCTTCCAAGGTGTCCTTGGAGTATGTGTGGAAGAACTGGAAGGCAGCAATCCACAGTGTACCCAACTATCTGTCAGAGACATTGTGGACCTTCAGCCATTTTACCCACACTGCACAGCTTGTGCCACAGAGTAGGTTGTCATGTACCCAACATGTACCCTGCATGCATGAATAAACCTATGTCTCTCTCTGTTGCTTGCTCTGAGCACACACAGAAACCCAGTCACACCTTTTAAAAATCTTCCTTCAACTCAAACTGTGTTCTGTTCCTTTTCCCATGCATGTACTGCCCCCATCCATTCAGATATGTAAGAACCTGACCCATCTCCAGCTTCCACCTTAGGTTCTCCCTGCTGGCTTCCTGCTGTTTTTCATCTCACCGTTAGCTCCACTGACCCTGCCTACAGTTGGCTTACACTACCTTTCCCAGCTGTTTTCCCCATCCATCTACTCTTTTAGTCCTTTCTCCCCCTGGACAGAAGGGCAGGAGTCCTTTTTTCTTTTCCCCCACTCTTTTCTTGATGACGGCACATGCAGCAGAAGACCGTGTTGGCCTTCAGTCATCTTCATTTGCTAAGAACATTTCTGAATCCCACATCTGATCCAGAGGCAATAACAGGAAATAAAGGAGGCAGCAGCTGGAAGACCTCAGTTTGGTTTGAAGTGATTCTACCTGCTGATAGCAAAACACACTACATAAAAACAGGAATAAATCAGTAAAAGGTGGGAGGGGCAATACATTTCAGCAGTCACCAAGAACAGGTGTCAGAGACACACAGGTGACTGTGGGCATCACATTGTCTATCTCTGATTTGGGACAGATTGGAGTGTGAAGCTTTTGATCAGGGTTTACCTGTTCTGATATTTCTGATTCCATCATTGAGTTCTAAAATACTAGGAAAAATACAGCTAAACAACACAGTTTTAAAATATAATAGAATTCAGAGGCATATACATTTTATTTGGCAAATCTGAAACCTGAATCTCTGAATGTCTCCCAGACTCTTTCACCTTGCATGCACTATCTTAAAACTATGCTATGTGTCATAGCTGAAGACAATAGCTATGTCATAAGCAAATAAAGAAATAGACCGTACATATTACTTGGATTGATAGCTGTACAAGAGCACACCAATCTCTCTTTTCCATTCTTAAGCATCATGAAAAGGTCAAACATTAACGTGATGCACCCATAAGTGACCAACACTGGCACAATCCACAAGGATTGTTAATATGCTTATACCAGATGCAAAGAGAAAAGCCTTTGGTGGGAGAATCTAGTCCCTTCCATTCTTAAGCCTTAGAGTGACGGTATGCTGTATCTTTTCCTTCAGTGTATATCCATTCTGTATGACTGAGCTAACATCATATATTAATGCCTTTTCTTCATTTCTACAATAAGCAAGTGGAAGAAAGTGCATGATGTCAGCGTGCTTGAAAGTAATGGTGCTTTGCTTGTTCTACTGTACATCAGGGGAGAATTTTGACCGCCAAGCCAGCATACGGAGGTCTCTAATTTACACAGACACTGTGGTAAGGCGGCCGAAGAAAGTGAAAAGGAGAAAGACTATTACAGGAATCCCAGACAACATCCAAAGAGAGCTAGGTATGGCTCATCAGAACTGTATTCCATTCCATTTAATAATCACTGCTTAATGTCACTAAAATCATAACATTTACCTGCATTCATGAAGTAAATACAGTCTGATAGCCTCTTAAAAGTTTAAAATGAATATGTGCCTGATCATTAAAAAGAATAGTTAATGCATAAATTGATTACTCTGCCCCTAGAAATTATGTTTCCCTTTTTATTGATTTTACTGAATGTCATGTGAAGATGTCTTTTTAAGAACTTACGTATTGAGATGATAGAAATCTGCAGGAATGTAAGAAACTGATTTCAGATTTTGCTTATTATTCACATGGACTTAAAAGATACGTCTCAGGATTACATTTGAGCATGTCTATTTCACACTATATTCCTATAGTGCAGAAAACATTCATGGCTGGATTTGGATTGAAAGAATGCATTAAAATTGGTATAAATTCAGTATTATCAATAGAGCTTTTGACATACTAAAGAGTAACAACTGAAACAGATCTACGGTCTGGTCATTTTCAAGGCCATTTCACATATGATGGTTTTCCTACAGAGATATTCTTATTGCATGTCCATATGGTAATGGAAATGTATCACTTTGGTTGACAGTGTACATGCTGTTTCCTCTATGGATGTGATATCCATGCATGAGAAGGTACTATCAAACCTGGCCTTTAAAATTGTTACAGATTATGTAATTAGATGTATCATGTGTAAATTGAATCACATCTTTTCTGAACATGTTGTCAGTTTTTCTAATACCTAAGTTTCTATCTATATCCTATAATGTGCTGGTCTGCCCCCAGAGCCGGATGGATCCGGATGGATTCCTGAAGGTGCTGGGGGGATTTCCTGGTTGATAAGGCTGGTGTTCCTGTCGCTGCCTTGGTCGAACTATGGAATGGGGAAATTACCGAGACTATTGTCACGATCGCTCCTAAGCGTCCTCTCCCACCTGGCAGAGCCTGTTCATCCCCTTGGTATACACCTGAATTACAGGCGATGAAGCGGGTTGGGAGACGTCTAGAGCGTAGGTGGAGGAGATCACGGGATGAATCTGACCAAACACAAGAGCCCATTATCGGGCCTATGCTGTGGCGGTGAGGGCGGCGAAGAAGAAATCCTTCTCTGCTTCCATTGCCTCCTCACAATGCTGTCCAGCGGAGCTCTTTTGGGTGTTACAGGGGTTGGTACATCTGGGCCCAAAGAAAGATCTCGTGACACCCTCGGAGGCCCGCTGTGACGACTTCGCCAAGCATTTCAGGGAGAAAATCGCTCAGATTCGTCACAAGCTGGACTCTACTAGTGAATCAGATTCTACTGGGGAGGTGCCAATGTTACCATCTGGTCCACAATTGATGGTTGAGTTTCAGTTGTTGCAGCCTGATGATATGGACAAGGTGCTTGAACAAGTACGTCCTACCACCTGCTTACTGGACCCTTGCCCATCTTGGCTACTCAAGAAAGCCAAGGACGGGATTGGGACCTGGATCCTGGAGGTTGTCAATGCCTCTCTAAGGGATGGCCAGGTACCTGCCTCTTTAAGGAGGTGGTAGTCCAGTCAGTCCTAAAGAAGGCATCCCTGGATCCAGAGGTGGCTGCCAATTATAGACCGGCGGCCAACATCCCGTTTCTGGGCAAGGTGTTAGAGCTGGTGGTGGTGGGACAACTCCAAGCACTCTTGGATGAAACTGATTATCTGGACCCATTTCAGTCTGGCTTCAGACCCGGGTACGGTACTGAATCTGCCTTGGTCGCCCTTTATGATGACCTGTGCAGGAAGAGAGATGGGGAGTGCATCCCTGTTGGTTCTCCTGGACCTCTCAGCGGCTTTCGATACCATCAACCGTGGTATCCTTCTGAATAGGCTTGCGGGATTGGAAGTTGGAGGCACTGCTTTGCAGTGGTTCCGCTCCTATCTCAATGGCTGATTCCAGAAGGTGGTGCTGGGGGACTATGGCTCTGTGCTATGGCAGCTATGCCATGGAGTTCTGCAGGGGTCCATTTTGTCCCCCTTGCTATTCAACATCTACATGAAAGCACTGGGAGAGGTCATTAGGAGGTGTGGGCTGCAGAATCATCAGTAAACTGATGATACCCAGCTCTACCTCTCGTTCTCAACTAATCCAGCTGAGGCGGTGGCTGCACTGAACCAGTGCCTGGCCGAGGTAATGGGCTGGATGAGGGCCAATAAACTGAGGCTCAGTCCAGACAAGACGGAGGTCCTGTTGGTAGGTGGGTCGGTCTTCGGGATGGGGGACCTGGACCTTGTCCTGAACTCCCTCTTAGGGACAGGGTTCACAGCTTGGGAGTGCTCCTTGACCCAGAGCTGTCATTAGAAGCTCAAGTAACAGCGGTGGCGAGGAGCGCCTTCCTTCAGCTTCGGCTGATCCATCAGCTGCGTCCCTACCTGGAGAATGACTGCCTGGCGACTGTGACACATGCATTGGTAACTTCCCAATTAGATTTCTGTAACGCACTCTTATGTGGGGCTGCCCTTGAAGACGGTCCGGATAGTTCAGTTGGTGCAAAACAGAGCTGCCAGGTTGCTGACGGGGACTGGGCGTTGTTCTCATATAACCCCAATCCTCCGTCAGCTTCACTGGCTCCCCACTGAAGTCTGGGCCCAATTCAAGGTGCTGGTTATCATCTATAAAGCCCTTAACAGCTTGGGACCTGGTTATCTAAAGGAGCACTTGCGTCCATATCTGCCCTCCCTCCCCTTGAGATCAGTGGCAGAGACCCTTCTCCAGGAACCCTCCATGAAACATATTAGGAGGGTGAGTACCCGGAGGAGGGCCTTCTCTGTGGTGGCACCCCACTTATGGAATGCGCTCCCCAGAGAGGTCCACCTGGCGCCGTCGTTATTTGTTTTTCAGTGCCAGGCCAAGACCTTTTTATTCAAACAATATTTTAATTGTTAATTTGTTGTTTTTAATTTATTGGTTTTAAATTATGGCCGAGATACTCTGAATTTTTTATGTTATTCTATTCTATGTTTATTATCCTCCTTGTAAACCACCCCGAAGCTTCTGCGATGGGTGCGGCAGAAAAATGTTATAAATAAATAAATGAAGTGATGTAAACCGTTTGATCACCTTCAGAATAACCACAGTCTCTTGCACTTGGAAAACCCTGACAGTGCCTTACAGCTATAAGGAACAAAGTGCATAGATAGAAGATAGAAGTTTACATTCCTTCAGTACTTTTGCAAATAAATAATTTTCTCGTCAGTTATAAATGAGAAACTGATGGCCATGATCCACCATGGTTATTTGATACAGTTGTAAATAGTCACAGCGAATAACAATCAGTAGAAACAAGAGAGTCATAATATAAATGCCAAGCAGGCAGATACAAAGCCTACATAGAAAAGCTTTTAACAATCCAAGAATTCTCCCATAAGTTCAGCCATGCCTGTTTGTTACTTACATCAGTAGCTGGCAGGATGAATTAGAACTGTCTTTCCCAACTGGCCATGCTGTCTGGGAATTAGAGGATTGCAGCATACATCTGTAGGGTACCAGACTGACCAAGAATGGATTAAACTTAAAAGATGGGGGCCCCTCTGGAACCCTGCACCATCTGCATGCTAGCTTAACAGATAATTCTTCTTGTACTATAGTAAAACTGAAGGGCATGAGAGTTCAAGTTTCTAATTCAGAATTTGAAACTGCAGCATAATGAACAAGTTTTTTAAAAAATCATTCAGAATCATTGAGATATCCATAAACAGGCATGTGACTAGAGAGCCTTTGGGCTATTGGGCAGTAAAGAAATATAATAAATGAGACATCTGCCATTGCTTTGGAACTGGAAATGCATGGAGAGTATAACACAGGCAGTGATAACTGGAATGGTTCCGAGTGTTCACACTCACACCTAGATGACTCCCTTGCATACAGTATAAAGTTAGGTACGAATTAACTACTTAAAAACAAAAATAAACCTCTTTGAATTAGCAGTTTAAATCAAGCTGTGGCTTAGTTGTTGATTATTGTAGGACACCAAAATGGACACATTTACCTAGTTGACAGATAGTGACAGACCATAGTTAAAACAGTCCATGTATCTATAGGCATTTATGAGCATTTCATTTTTAATCAAGTAGCCATGACCAGCCCCTTTGCAGTTTTTTTCGTGTGACATATAAACTAAAGCGTTGGGTTTAGTGGCTTTAGAGATTTAGTTGTTGTCTAGTGGTTAACCTGTAGTTTATTAGATTAACCACCTGATTTTTTAGCGTCTAAGGAACCCAGCATTTCAACTTCATGCGTCACATTCCACAACCTAGACAGGCTGATTATACTTGTTGAATAAAAGTGGAAGTGGCTGATGTGCCATAGGCAGGAAACCCACCTTCTTCTGCTCATACCCAACAGCCTGTGGATTGTTTGTTTCACTGGTGGCCATCATGCTAACTAGACAAGGATAAGATTAGAAGAATATATTTTAGAATTATGATTGCTGGATGCAGTAACTTGTTACAGCTGACACAGTTTGCTATATACAATGGATGAAGGAAAGCTGCAAGAATGCATACTCTAGTTTTTCTTTCACATTTGTTAGTAATTGATCAAAAATCATTGTGAGTTCTTCATTATTTTGACATGGCTGAACAGTTCATACAAAGTAGTTGCATATATATCAAGAAATGGAGTTGGATAGACTAAAGTTTAGTGTCATTTCAAACAACTAAACCATAGGCTGGATTTTGAATTTCCTTATGCAGTATCATATAGTTCTTAGTTTTAAAAGTGATTTATCCTTAGACAGATGGAGCTGCTGTTCAAGAAAGACAAGCCTCTTTAGGGAGATAAAACTAGTTACATGGTTCTCTCGGAGCCGTAAATGACTAGACTGTGACCAAATTGCTATTTTTAAGTGTTTGTGAAGAGATTATTATTAATTTGCAATCATTCCTTTCTTGCACATACTTTTTCTTACCCAGGAACTGCTTAATATATTCCCGCTTCTAGGCAATGCTTGATTCAAACGTCAAATAATTAGCCATTTGGAAAAGGATAGTTTGTAATTGCCTTTCTCCCAGATCTAGCAATAAGAGTATATGCAGAATATGGGTAAGATCTAGGATATTCTATTGGGACAGACAGTGTTGGGATGAAAAGTGCACTCATGTCTTCCTGGACATGTAATACAAGAAGAGCATTGGGTAGAAGCTAAGGCTTCAGGACAAAGCCTGATGATCCCCAAGTCTTTTGCAGTAATCTCCTTTTGCTAGACTAAGTAGCACTCTTGAAAAGGGTGGAATGTTATTCCCTTCAGCATTTCTAGCCATTTGTTTGGAATCATACAATCATAGAATCATAGAGTTGAAGGGACCATTGAGTCTAATCCAGTGCTCAGTGCAGGACTCCCAAGTTAAACCATCCTTCTCAGATGGTCCTTAATATCTTGTTCAAGGTAGAAAACTACTCTGCAATTTGGGATTGGTATTTGGTATTTAAGTTTTATGGGATGGCTGCTTTGAAATCCTGTTTTTTCCATGAAGGAAAAAATAGAAACTTTTCATTATAGCATCACACACCCATGTTTAGATGCAATCCTACACGTATTTTGACAGTCCTGCACACCTCCAACATGCCTACATCCACTTATTTGCATGAGATAGGATGCCAAGTCATAGTTCCACTTTTCTTGTTCCACTGAACAAAATGTTAGGGAAGATGTCATACCAGCACATCCTGGAATTGTTCAATCTAAATTGAGTTGCCCTTTCCCCAATAGCCCACAATATTATGCATTTGGACATCTTGCTAAACAGCCCAGGGAAGAATCATACTTAGCTTAGTGGGAGTAGATGGGCATCTAAAAGTTGCCTAGGTTGTTCATAACTACCCACTGTTTAAATAAATAAACAAACCCTAGGTAGCTGTGACATGAGAACCAGGTCACTGTGAGTGGCAGCATACGCAAATGCCTATACACAGTGGGGATCAAGCCTTTAGGATCTTATTGGGTGTTTCTGACTGTGGTGGTAAAGTTCTGACATTGTTTCGCATACAGTCATGAAACCTGATTTCAATACCTTTAGGATGTGGAACTTGATACACAAAATTGATGGTGCTACAAGGAAATATAGTTGACCATGATGTTGCATTCTTGAGCTTGAGTCTAGCTAAGCTCCACTGATCTACACTTTAATGCAAGTGAACTTTGGTTGCTCCCAGTAGGTATAAGTGCTTAAGCAGGTCAGCCTTTCCCAACCCTCTAGCATCCTTGTTTTCAGAAACAAGTATCCACAGTGGATTCAAATGAGTTGAAATTTCTATGAATCCAATCTGTGCATTTCTGTAGCACACCAGCCTTTTCTGAATTGCACCAATTTCTCATTTATAAATCTTCGGGGGGGGGGGGGAGATGACTTGTAGGGGACTAGTGTAAATGTGCAGTTGCACTAATTCAAATGGGAAAAATTGTTGTGTATCTATAAAAATACCAATTCTCTCAATAGGCAAACAATGAAACAAAAGATGCCTGACAGTCCATGAAACACAAATTTGACAAAATCTATAGATTCCTGTTTGTTACAACTTGCCTTAAGTATTCTTTGCTGTAATCCTAGATTTCATCGAGTTGGGTGGCATTTGGAGGCTACCATTCTGTTGCTATTATTTGGGCAGGAAAGAGAGAATGCAACATAATTATTATAGATTTCTGTTGTTTTCTGGCCTGGAAAAATAGACTTTTTGCCTTTATCCTTTTAAAGGACTATTGGGTGAAAGAAAGGAGACGCAGGTGTGGCCACGATAGCTGTTCCCATGTTGAAAGGGTAGGCCAAAGATGGGCAACCTTGAGAAAACTCATGTGGTGATGGATTGCAGTTGCACATTGATACAAATACTGCCCACAATGGACAGATAAGGGCCTCTTAAAGTCCCAAGGATGGCTGTTTCCCAGCCACAAGAGAGTGGGAGATTGAATTGGGGTCAAGACTACATCTTGGCTGCACTGGGGTTTCAGTTCTGATGTTTCGGACAGTGTTGGGGAAGTGTTTTTCCCACCACTCAGCTCAGTAGCTAATGCCCTCTTCACGCCATCCGCATCAGAACCACTGTTTCCTTGCAACAGGGGCTGAGGGAGTAGAAAACTTCCTTTCCCCTTCCCAGCAAGCCAAGTTGGGACTCTTGCTTTCCCAGCCTGTGTACATTGACCTGGCTGCGGTGGGGTTGCTATTTGGGTGCTACTAGAGTAGTACCAGATTGCTGGACTTTTCTGTAGGAAAGTTATTTTCTGGACTTTTCTATCAGCTGGCCAGCAGGGGAAAAGTGGATGGGACCAGACGGAGAGTGGCTAAGTGCTGTGGGTTGCCCCTCTCTCTTTCAAATCTGCATTCTTAGGAGCGAGGTTGCAAAACCTGTAGGCAGTATGTCCCATTGACCACAAACATACATAGAATTAGGCTCTTAATGTGATGAGGTTTTCCTATGAACCTTATTATTGCATGTGAAAAATGTGATGGTGTAATACATTTCCATGCAAACTTACATTGTGTCTGTTTGGCTTTACATAAAAAGCTTGGCAAAATTCACATTTTTCTCATTGCAGAAACTGAGAAGATATAATTTCACAGTTGTCTGTATTGGTGGATTTCTTTCCCTTTTTGATTGCCTTGGCCCCTTATGCCTTTTGATAAAGCCCTGCTGTTGAGAATTGTAAGGTTGCTTGCCATATATTGCCATTTATATTGAAGGAACATAATGAAATTTTCACTGGAGCCCATTATCCTGGAAAAATTGTAAAGGTCATGTTCTCACCACTACGAAGTTTCTACTTAGACAACATTGACTTCAGTGGGAAGCCTGTGTTTCAGTTTATGCTTGCTGGAAAACAAAAATATGTTAAAAGCAGGCAAAATGCATGAAAACATTTGTAACCTTTGTAAACCTTTAATTTTGTTTGAACTGAAAGAGTAAAAAGCAAGTTAATGTTTCATATATGGCCTTGCCCTTACTTTTCCTTCTTCTGTCCTCTCAGTTCTGGTGTGCTGTATGCCAAGCAAAACAACAAATGTGTTTAGCTTAAGCAGCTATTAAAATTTATGGAAAGAATGCCCTTACTTTTTCACAGTCCAATTGCATTGAACAATTAAGTGTATTGAAAGGCTGTAGGAGGGAGCTCCTTATCTGACATGCCATAAAAACTCTCAAGAGCAGCTCAGAAGCAGACATTTTAATGTCTTTGTTGTTCCTTTGCAGTGACCTGCAGCACTTCAGATAACCAAGTACTCCCTGCCCCTTTTTTGTTCTTTTACACCATTGAAGTACAATTTGGACTAGGGCAAAAAAGAAAATGATGACAGCACTACAAAAATTGCTGTTTTAATTATATTTAATGTAATGGTGTATATGGATCTTAATAGTCTAAACGGCCTGCTTCTCAGCTCGTTGGCACTCAGGCTGTCTTCTGGAGAAGCCTGAGGTGTTTATTGGCCTTTCTCAGTTAAAACAGCCACTAATGGAAAGGCAATGAAAGTGTGGTGGGTGCATTTGAAGGCAGAGTCTCCATTCATAGAGGGCAACCACGAAGCCAGCAGCTCATGGAACAGCCTTTCCAAACATGGTGCCCTCCTGAAAGTGGTGTGCAGAATTCCCACCAATGGGGGAATGAAGGGCATTATAGGCCAGCACATTCTGGAGGACAACAAGTTCCAAAGGGCTAGCTTAGAGCATATCCCAGCAAGCTATATAATACGCTGGTTTTCTGCAACCATAGACAACTCACTGTTAAATGAGTTCCCTGAAAGTTTGAAAAGTTAAATGTTAATCTTATGAATAAATCATTTTGTCTATTAAGTTTCTATGGTCTCGGAATGCCGGTCAACCTCAAAGGAAAGGATTTGGATTTTCATAGGCACTGCTGTCTACCCAGTGAGTTGATTGGTTAATGGTAGACAAAGGTAGCTTTGAACCAGCCTCTGTGCACTGGCTGAATTTACATAGCTACTCTTGCCAGTGTGGCTTGCTGTGATGCCCAAACTGGGTGCAGATGGGAGCTTGTGGTGGTTAGGAAGCCACCCAACAACCCTAAAAGAGACCATGAGTTTTGTGTGATAACCACACCAAACATTCACCCTGCCAGGTTTGGATGTCACAAGGTATACCAGCATGCACAGGGTGGCTAATGAGCCATCATTATGAATATGCAACTCCCAAAATAGCTGGGGCTTGTGGTGTCATCAGTCGTAACCATTAAATAACCTTCCCCAGGTGGGTTTGGACTACACAAATCACAGCAGCCCTGGTCAGAGTTATCATGCACCATAGTCCCACATTAACCTGTGATGGGCTCTTGCTTTGTCCAGTCTGGACAAAGATCCAGAGTCTGCCTTAGCATGTGGTGAGCAGTGATTTGCATTTTTCCTGACTTTCTGTTATCCTCAAAACTGGAACTACAACTTGGGGTCCCATTTCATTCCATGTGAAATAAGAGTAGCTATAAACTACAAGTTTAATCTTGTTTGTAGGAACAAAGTGTAGTTAGATTGAATAGAGCTAATGATTTTCATTGAAAATGGAGTGAACCTTTCAAATCAATGTTCTTATGTGCTTGACATACATTATGACTACTGGACAAACATTATGACTGCCACTAACAGTGGCTGATAGGATTTAAATGTATTTGTAGTGAAGTGCACAAGAAACTGAGTAGGCTGGTACTGATTGTTCTCAGTTGATCTTACCTTTTAGATGAGAAGACAGCCGTTCTCATATCAGCTTTTTAAGATTTCAACATGATCAGAGAGTCATTAGTGCTCAAGATACTTGCTTGATATTTGGAACAAATTACCATATTTATAACCACCATGGTAACAAATGAAATACAACCATTTGATGTGTATTTTGTTAATGAATGCAGAAATCTAAATGTGTTGAAACTGTCATTTGTGTAACAATGTTTTATTTTAACTTCAACAGTTGGTTCTGGTAAAAGTGACTTCCGTGGCCATTCTTTATGTGTCCCTGATCACTATTCCACACTAGGAAGACTTGATAGCTATCGCTCTTCTGTGCAGCAGTGTGACACCAAGGACACCAGTTGTCAGACAGATGAAGTCAAAGTGGTTCCACCTTCGGTGAGGCGAATACGTGCACAGAAAGGTCAAGGAATTGCAGCCCAGATGTCACAGTTGTCCAGTTCTTCTGGGAATATGTCAGTGATGAGCGATTCAGCTGGTGTAGTTTTTGCTTCTCGCTTAAACAATGACCTGGGTTTTCACAGTCTACCTCGGTCAGGGGCAAGAGTGTCCCTACCGTTATTGGAGCGTAGGCACAGCCTCTCCAAATCAACAGGAGGTGAGACTTTGTCACACTCAATAAGCAAACTGCAAGTGGATAATAGCATAGACCATTGGAGGAACAGCTGTAGGACAGGTGTGCTTCAAAGGCCAAAGTCTCAAGAAATAAGGAATTCCGAGCGTGAAGAATTAGAAAGCCCAGCATGCATGGTCTCACCACATGCGGCATATGCAACCAGCATCATACCAAATGCCACCCTGTCATCTTCTTCAGAGGTGATTGTTATTCACACTACACAGAGTGCTAGATCAATGGATAGTAAAATCACCAACTCTTCATATTCAAAGGCTAGAGACAATCTTGTCGCCAGCAGCATAGTTAGCACAAAATATCAACAGCATCTTTCTTCTGGTAGTACCTGGAGTGAAACCAGATCACAGTCACAGTCCTCGGACATTACTGTTGCATCGAATGCTGTAATGGGGGTTGCCCTTGGAGATGCAGGAGTGTGCCTCAGTGGTGAAGGAACTGTAGAGCATAACCCCCAAAACGTGGCCTACAGCGGTAGGAACAATCTCAGTTGTTCGAGTCACTCTCAGGATAGTGACAGCAGGAATGAAGTGGGTTACTCAGTAGATAAAACACAGGGCAAAGTTCAGAACAGCTCAGAGTATGGTGGGTTCAAGCATGCTGGAAATGAAGAGTCACCCTTATCTAAACCTAGTTGTATCACTCCAGGAAGTTCCACCCCCGTGAGCAACTTGAGTACCGGCAGTCTTGAAAGAGTCTCTGCCAAGGAAGACTCAAGTTCTTTATACTCTGTGGACCATGATGGCTATTATACATCCATGCATGTGGACTCAGGCCTCAAGTCTGGTAAAACCTGCAATAATAATGGTTTTGGTGATCCCAGGCATAGCATCATTAATGTGTTTGATGGAGCTGAGAAGAAATCACTGGGAGACTTGTCATACTGCAGTGAAAAGTCTCTCTCACGAAGCATCTCCTTAAAAAAGGCCAAGAAGCCACCTCTGCCGCCATCCCGAACAGACTCTCTTAGAAGGGTCCCCAAGAAGAGAGTTCAGTCCAATGGACAAGTGCTGGACGACACACTGATTGCCAGCCTTCATCATTCCCTACAGTTGAACCTCAAGTGCAAAAATGGCAGCTCGCCGTCTCAGAGTCCTAGCAGTGATTATGATGACCCTTGGGTGCTGCGCTCTCGTAGCCAGAGCTCTGTGAGTGCCAGCAGCAGCGTGGTGTCTGCAGCAGGCCTAAATATGTACTCCATCTGTGCTGTCACACCTTCCCAGAGTGAGACAAGCAGCATCAAGTCTGAGTATGCTGATCAGTGGAGTTACTATAGTGACTGTCCTGGGATACCAGAGGATCATTTAAAATCCCCGGGAGTTCATTCAGCTAATACTGCTCCCAAGCTGAATGATTATAATGTCAGCAGTCACCTTAACGACGGCTCCAAGGCTTCTGCACGGCATGTGCCCAGTGGGTTGACCAAACCGACTGCCGCTTCTCCAGAAAAGCCACACAGAGTTACATCGCCATCTAGTGGGTATTCCAGCCAGTCCAACACACCCACAGCACTTACACCAGTGCCTGTAATTCTAAAATCTGTGTCAACGGGGAATGAAAAAACCAAGATGAAGCCTAAAGTGCCTGAACGGAAGTCATCCCTGCTGTCTTCGGTTTCAATGTCTTCTTCCTCCACATCTCTTTCTTCCAATACATCCACCGAAGGAAATGTGAGTGTGAAGAAATCTGATCCTGGCTTGAGCTTCTCTCTAGTTCATCCTTCTCCACTAATGTCTCCAGACTTGGCTGACCAACTTCTTCCTCCCCCACCACCTCCCTTAACAGATGTCATGGATCTGCCTCTTCCACCTGGATTTGCCAATTTTCCACCACCCCCACCAGAAGCTGTTACGGGAGCATCATTTCCCCACAGCATGCCATGGTTGAATTGTCAAGATAAATCACCGAGTCCTTTCACTCCACAATTATCACCTGTCCCACCTCCTCCCTTTCCGCCTCCTTTTTCTTCTTCAGAACTGCCTGCAGCACCACCCTTGGACCCCAGACTCACAAAAGATGCATATAAACACCAAACATATTCTTTCAGGAAATGTAATCAGGAAGGTTCTTGTCCCAGCACAATAAAACCAGTACTAACTAAGGAAGATCCCTCTAGGCCTGCAATGCCTCTAGTAACCACTCAAGCACTGCAAATGGTACAGCTGAGGTCTGTGAAGAAAGTTACTGTGTCAGAAGCTGACCAGCCAGTTGAATTGGATTGCGATACCAATACTCAGGAAAAATTGACTGACGCTCTTGCAGCACAGTTGTCCTTAAAAGCATGTGTGTCAACAGGACACAATGACAGCCTGGATGAAGATGAGGCAAAGCCCCATAAAGCATTTGAGAAAAGCTTTGTTTACAGCCCTAGTCAGAGGCCTTACCCAGTTTACACGGATAGTAGCCCTGAACTTACCCATGGTAAAATGCCCGGAACTGCAGCCAGCCTAGCCAAACCTGTTGCTAGTGATTCACTGCCAGCCAGTGTTGAAGAAGCACCAGGGCAGAACCAAGGGTCTCACTGTGATCTTGCAAGCTCATCCTTTCAGGGGCAGGCAGGATCTCTCAACAAGCATCCGGGTATATCGCCAAACAAGAAGCCGCCACCTGTTTCGAAGAAACCCAAACTGTTCCTGATTGTGCCACCCCCACAGCCCGATGTTGCAGCAGAAAAAATAGCAGAAGTGGGTGAAACAGTCAGAAGCTCTCCAAATGCAACTACAAATGATGCTACAGTTGCACAGTGCAGTCAGCCTGGAGATTATGCTTCAGATGGACTCCGTTCTTACGAAATGGACTCTAGCAGCCTTGTGCCAGGAGGAGGAGCTGCAGGGTTGTCTGTGTGTGAAACCCTGAAAACCAGTGTCTCTGCACCGGAGGCCAAGCAGGAGGAGCGAGCTGGTGTTTGTGATGGGAGCACTTGTGCCAGGAATGGAGACAGCTTCTCCCAAGCAGACAGGCAGCTGTCTCAGAGGGTTGGATGTGGTGAGTCTGTTTCCCCTTTTGTTCCCCGTAGTCACTTCATGAGCTGGTGCCTGGACATTTTGGGGGTGGGGTGGGATCTTAAGGGAAGAGCATAGGAAATCGCAGAGCTTGGGGGAGTTCTGTATAAAGAATCCCCACTGCTATCTACAAGGGTTTGCTCAACCGTATCCCTACTTTAAAAAACCTGGAATGAGTTCATACCTTTACTGCAGAGACAGTAATGTTAGCTCTTATTGACAGTAGGGGCAGAACCCCAAAAACTTGAAAGGCAATTTTATGTTCCTTGTAAATAAGTAAAAGCCATAGCTTGCAGACTGCAGTGACTCAAAATAATTTTGTTAGTAAAAGACGAAAGTGTGATTGAGTGTATTTAAGGGAATGGACACACTGTCTGTTGCTTCATGGGTTACTGAACTCAGGTAACTTTTCTCCCCCAGTGCTGTGAGCTTTGAACGCCATGTAATTTTTATACTTACATTTTAGCTGAAGCATTTGAATCAGATGCAGCAAACAGCTTTTCACTGCAGAGCCCTCATCATGGGGAAGACAGTGAAGTGGTGACGTTGCCAACTAGACCGAGGACTACTGAGGATCTGTTTGCAGCCATTCACAGGTATTGCTTAAATTACCTTTCTTGTGTTCCTTCTTTGCATTATCCTTTGCCATGTTGTTCTCCCATCATGTATAATGTTGATGGTGATTATTATTGGTTGTAGTAGTAGTAGTATTTTAATCCTAGAAACAGTGTAGATACTAATAATACGTAGTTAAAATACATCATAAATAGCATCTTCCTTTACTTTGAAATAACCTTTTACTAATTCTGAAACTAAACTTTGCTAACAACAAAATCCAGTTTCGTAAGATTGTTGTCATTTGCCCTTTTCAAGTGATACCTCATTTATATTGTACTGTTGCTCTCAATCTGCCTGATTTAACATACACTATTGCTTTCTCTGTGTATCTTTTTGTTTCATTCCCTCTGCGCTCCATCCCCTTTTACTCTTCTCCGCTGGTTATATGGTGCAGTTTGGGACAGAGGCTCAACTCTAATGCTTCATGGCAAGCTTGGCTTAAACTGGCAAGTAAACAAAATCTATCAGTCATATGGAAAAACATATGACAATGGCTGGATTATAGATTGCCATAATCCAGATGTAGGTGGAATATTTTTCTGGCACACTAATTTGTCAACTGAAGAGTGCAATACAGGCAGTTTCCACTCCACACCATTCTTAGATTTACAAAGAAAAGATAAAGCTAGTTGATGTGTAATTTTAACAAATTTCACTGAGCTACAGTGTAAGTGTTCCTTTACAACAGTATATTTGGTTACAAATCTCTAAAAGCATCCTATTGGAAAGCAGCAGCAGGAGAAACAAACATTGAGTGCTCTAAAATTACACTAGGAAGAAACAGGCTCCCCAGACACACTTGGAATATTTAATGTCCAACATGGGTTCCATCTTGTGGCCATTTACTGAACAATTTTCTGAAGTGGAACTGAATTGGCTTACATGTGTCAAAAAGACATTGCAGATTTAGATCTGAGTTCACCTGTTCATGTGGGAACAGAATCTCAATGTTTCTCATTCTACTTCATATATGAAAGAATACTCTGACTTTTGTAGAAGGGGAAACAGTGTCTACATTCACACATAATGGGAAATTGTGCCTTAATCAACCCATAATTTACTGCGAGTAAGCACTCTACCCGTAGTACACTCCCAACCCCAGTTTCCTTTTACAACCATTATATTTTTACAACCTTATATTTGTCCTAATCATAGGTTGCTTCTGTGATTTCTGAAACTGGGCACTCTGGGTTGTTTAGGGATCAAATAATCCAATATTAATCCAAGAATGGGTTAACACGGGGTTATTTAAACCCTAAAGAATCCAAAGTGCCTGGGTCCAGACATCACAAGAGCAGCCTATATTATCATAAGTTATAAAATGAAAGTAGAAGTCAGGAGCATGCTAGAAGTAACACACTTACTCATAGACACAATTTGCTATGGAGCAAACTGGCTCCAAGTGTAGAAAACTTTGAACCATGCCCAGTTCATATTTAACAATGTTAAACATGGGTAGGATTTTTTTTTGCTGCTAGGACTGCTTTCTTTCATTGCAGTTCACACTGTCTTACACATTCTCCTTTAATAATTATTTGGATTCAGTTTACAAGTCACATCTAACTACAGGTTAGACCATGTAATGGTCAGCAGTAACCACATCAGAGCAACCAAGCATGCTGTCTGCTTTGTGATTGTTACTTCTGCCTTTGTATATAAGCCAGGAACACCCTATTTCTATTTCTAGGGTGGCTGTTCTAATGTACAAATCTGTCACTCTTGGTTGTTTATTAAGCAGCCCTGTGTTTGTTGTTCATTCCCACTGGATCCTGCAAGTTCATGGATTGAGCAAACCATGAATTGCCTTTAATGTGTGAACCAGATCATATTGCGAGACTGAATGAATAGGAAAGTGTTAACAGCCTCTCCTTGGTCTCCCTTGTAAAAAAGGAATGTTCAAGTGTTAATAAGACTTGAACATGCTTTAGTTACAAAATCTGGAAAATTTCTGAGATTTGATTGTGCGGCCTCCTTTAAGTTATATACTGTGAAAGAGACAAAAGCATGTCCAATGGATACATTAACATTCATTAACTGATTTACAACACTTTGGTGTTTATTTTCCTTGCTACTTTGTCATAGTGCAAATTTCATCTCTGCTTGTCATGAGAGACAATTACCAGAGAGGAGTCACACAGTAAATAGCGCAGCTGTACGAAAAAGACACTTTGAGTCCTTTTTTTCAGTTGTGCTTCAGGCCATTTAATTTTTCTGTGGATGGTGCTCTGTGTTTTTAATAATGGGAATGGTGTGTATTGCTTGATTACAAAGTAATATGTAGGGGAGGTTGTTAAACTGATACACAGATAAATAAATGAATAATATAGAATAAGTTCTATATTAGAACATAGAATTCAGAAGCATCTGCTTATGCAAGTTTATGTGACTCTCAGTTGAATCTGCATTTCTAATCTTATTTTATATCAGTAAATTGTTATATCCGCTCTGTTTCTGAGCTGAAATAAACATGGAAAATACATTTCCCTATTCCTCTTGAACTCTTATTGATTTTTGCAAAGAATTGTATATGGAATCATTTGCAAATTTCTATTAGCAACCCATTTTTAGTTTAGGATTATATATTCATTTACATCATTAATTAGTTTAGGCCTGTTTATTTTGACCCAGCATTGCATACACCCTTCTTTACTCATTGCATTTATAAGGTCATGAGTGAGTGAACAGAATTTAGTTAAATGCAGCATATCTGTGACACCCAAACTTTTAAAACACACATGTGCAATCCTATTCTTTTCAGAGGCGGAGTGCACCAGCAGAAATATATAGAGTTTGAATAAATGTAGAACAGTCCTATTTTTTGCTTTCTTCCTATGGCAAGTTTAATTTAATCACTTGTCAAATAAGCGTAGGCCAAAGGAAATGACTGTGGCATGCTTGCTCAAATGAATGCTCCGGTATTGTTTTTAAATGAGTTTGAGTGCTTGGCTCACATTCATATATAGTTGGTATTAATTTGAAAGGAACATTGCTTGCATTTTACCCTAGTTAATCACTCATCTACTTTCTTCTTTTAACCTTTAAGCTTTGTGATTTTGCCTCTGTGCATATGAATTGTTTTTAGGCAAGATTCCTTTTCCTCTCTGCAAGTTAATGTAGCTAATTCTAAAATGATGCTTAATATTTAATACCATGTGCTACATGCTAATTGCTGTTATAGGCAAATTAAATGCTTAATAGGTTACTAGTTCCCACAGAGCATTTGAATTTCATTTATATCATCAATTCCCCTACTTCCTTTGGCATTTTTATTCTAAACACCTCGACAAATGTAACTAGTGTATATTCTGTAGGCTACAATTATTTGGAAGGGAATACTACACCGGAAGACGTTCCATTAAGAAAATAAAATTTGCATGATTCAAATATTAGCTTCATATTAATATGAATACCAATAAGGAAAGAAACATTGTACTCACAAGTAAACTTTACTGCCATCCTAGGACCAAATAATTTTTTTTATTTCAGAATTAAACTACTGATAATGGTATATTCCATTTCTTTTTCTGATATCATCCCTTTATTACATTCTTTAATAGCATTTATTTATCCACTTGCTTGTTGATACTGTTAGAGTGTGTCATAGGAAGCTCTGTGTCAGTAACTGATACCGCTTTTCTGTTTTTCTTTCTCATCAAAATCACAGATCCAAAAGGAAAGTCCTTGGCCGCAAAGACTCTGAGGATGACCGCACCCGAAATCATTCTCCATCACCTCCAGTTACACCCACTGGTGCTTCTCCAACTCTGGCTTCCCTTAAGCAGGCAGGATCAATTCAGAGAAATGTTCGTAAGAGTAGTACCAGCAATGATAACTTCAAAGCACTGCTGCTTAAAAAAGGGAGTCGCTCAGACACTAGTTCTCGCATGTCAGCAGCAGAGATGCTTAAGAATACAGACCCAAGGTTTCAGAGAGCCAAGGTAGATTCACCTTGGGACCTGGCTGACAGTTCCACAAGTTGCTCTCCTACCAAAAGTAGGCGTGCTCATGAAGAATGGGCCAAAAGTGAAGGCCTGATGCCAAGGAGCCTGTCCTTTTCCAGCACCAGGTATAGTCGATCTCGAACCCCACCCTCTGCTGCAAGTAGTAAATACAGTGTTCGAAACAGGATCCAGAGTAGCCCTATGACTGTTATCAGTGAGGGAGATGCAGAAGCAGTGGAACCTGTGGAGAACAGGACTCACAGGCCTCTAGAAGAGGAACAAGACAGTCAGCTTGATGTGTTTGACAGTGATGACACAGACGTTAATGAAGAGGTGTGTTCCAGTGAGGATACTGCACTGCACCCAGACCTGATAACTTAATGATGACTCCACATCCTTTTAAGGATATATGTATGTTCATCAGCTTAAAAATGTTTAAGTGAGGATTAAGAAGCAAGGCACTGTGCTGTTAAACATCCAGAAGGTGTTACGTAACAAGTAAGAAGCCAGCCCTAGAAGAAAGTTCTAGTCAGTACAATGTCTTTGCCAAGCATTTAATGCGTGCTCATGTATGGATACCACAGACTGATACCTTTCCATGGCTTTCTTGGATTAGCCATTTTAGTTTCAAATAAACTAGTAACAAGACTTCTCCATTAAAGCCTTAAACATCCTCTAGAAAGAAAAAAAACCCAGCAGATATTCTTAGATTCTGGGTTGCTTGTGATAGTTTTCTTTTTCTTTTTTCAGGGCGTAAAAACTAAACTTGCAGAGAGAATGGGAACTTCTATGGTACAGGGTGGCAGTAGCTTTTGAAGTGTTATATTTATGAAATTTAGTAATCTCTTGAGCAGGGACTGATGGAATGAAATAAGCAGCCTGTTAGAGTTAGCGGGATTGACATTACCCTGCAGTTTCTCCTAGTGTGGGGTTCTCTGCTGCTCTGATCATCTCATCATATGATAACAGGTCATCCAGAGTCTGGATTAATTTTTTAAAAAAATACAACAGGAAAAAGCACTGTTGAAGTACAGAAGTGGCTGCTATGCAGCCATATTACAGCCCGTCTATTTGATTTCCCAGAAGCCTCTACCCCCCTGACTCCCATATGACTTCGGTTCTTTGAAAGGAAATTTAGATGTCCTTGTAGAGGTCTAAAATACCAAGCCCAGATTTGTAATGAGGGTGTGTGTAAATGCAAGATCATGGTGAGACCTAATAAGTTAACAGCCATTAACTTTTACATTTGCAAACAAATCCATTGTTTAAGAACTTACACAGATTGCAGAGTGCCCTGAATTTTTCAGTTAAGCTCTGTGGAAATTGCATCATTGGAACAGTTCTTTATCACAACAGGACAATTTGTGAATACCATATCACTTGGAATATCAAAAATTTTCTTACTTTTGGTTACCAAAGAATAAGTTACTTTAGTTTATAGTCAAAATTTTCCTGGAAAAGAAATAACCATAAACATTTAGGAGAGTTTGCTTAATTTCCTGAGTATTTACCAATGAGTTAAAAATAACATTTTCTTATTTGTAAAGGATATTACTGATAAAATATCAGCTACAATTTTGATCACAGTTTTTTAAAGAAACATTTAGTTTTTGAAAAGGAATTTTGCATAAGTTGGTAGTCTGTGTGGTTTTTTATAATATTTGTACATAATGTTCTTAACTTTTGTCCTGCCAATGTTGGAATTTCTGTGTTTTTAGATGTTAAGATAAATCTTCCAGGTAGATAATTTATTTTACTGAAAAACACTTGACTCTTTTTTCCATCTCTGTACTTGTTAGTACTGTAAATTTCAGGGGCCTTTACTCAGTTCAAGAAAGGGATGGGGACAATGCTGTGACTGCGTCAATAAATAAGGCTGCCATTTGTCATCTTGTGTCTCCAGTTAATAACACTTGGGAACCAGTGGACGCCATTCTGTTGAGACCCAGCCCATGGCACCAGCAGCAAAGGCTTGCTCAGGAACCGCAGGGCCTGGCTCAGGGGCAGGAGTGGCAGGCTCCTGCTTTGCGCACACGCGTACGTGCTTTCCAGTAAATGGGAATTAAACATTCACAAGTGCAACTGAGGCTTCTGGTCACTACTGAAAGCCCTCAACAGTCTTCTCTTTTGAGGAAGAGCACTTCATGCTTTCTCACCATACCCTATGCAATATCCTGCTTCACAAAGGCTGGAATGTCCCTCTGTGCGCCTGTCAATGCGTATGCTGGAGTGACTGAATCAGAGTCATTGTATTTAGTGGAACGTGCTGTATGCCTGCAGGAATCAGTCTTCCTCCTCCTAAGCGGCACAACAATCCAGTGTTCCTGTTTTCCTCACTCAAGAGCTAATATGTTTCTATTACGTAATCCCTCTGATACCTTGAAACAAGAAATGTGTACAAACTGCTGCTTTTTTTTAAACCCAAGAGCCTAATGTTTATTGAAAACATTGGAAAAAGTACACTCAAGAACTTTAACAGTTATAAATATTCCAGTATATATTTCATAAAGCAAAGCTTACATGTTTGAATATGTAACTGAACCATTTAACTGGGGACAGGGGAGTTATTGTTGATATTAATCACAGGCAAAATACACTGCTTTGCACCATGACACTCTGCAGCTGAACAAAGTTTATGATTTCTCTCAGAGCAAACATTAGAGAAATGCCCATTGTATTTTGATTAATCTGTTAGCAATAAATGTCACAATAAATGTAAATAAATTACAAAAACCAATAGCTTCTCACATTAGCAAAATCATTATTGATGGTCAGTATTTTTTGTACCTAAGTATGTAGACAAATAAAAACGTTCTTTCCTTTTATCAGTTCTTGTTTTACCTTAGACTAGCTTTCTTCAAGCAGATACCCTCCAGATGTTAGCAACTCCAATGTGGAGCAGTGATCAGGGATGATTGGAAACTAAGTTGAAAACATCTGGAGGGTACCAGGTTGCAAAAAGGTTCCACAGGCCATGCTTACCTTTGTAAGCCAGACTTCCTATCAAGAATTTGTTTTTTAAACCATCCCCTGTACTGTTTAGTGCAGAAAGTACCTTCTGTTTGGGATTTACAAGTCACAACACCTTGTTTTGTAGTATCGTTTTGCCTGGATGTGCCTGTCAGACAAGTGCTTTTCTACACTGACATGGTTTCCACTTTCCCCTCTGTCCTTCAGCCGTTGATGTGATTCCCATCAGGCACTGTACCTGAAATTCAGTCCCCAGATATCTGGAACAGCTCCTGCAACTGCCAAACTTTCCAGGGGCTTTGTGGTAGCTGCATAACTATGGAAACCACAATGCTGGGTTTGTGTTGGAAGCAGGTTTTCCCCTTATTTGTTTCAAGCTTCCTAAGTAACAGGCAGTCCTAAAGATAGTTCTTCATTGCCAATTCACACCCAGCAAGCTACAGCCACTGGAAGGCTAGTCTCTAAGCACAAACAGTGAATTGTTGAGCCCAAACTAGAAACCACTTCCAAAACCCCTCCTTTTCAGTAACGCTGGGCTCCACCCCTCTGGTTAGGTCCCTCTGGAGAAGGTGGGTTCCTCTAGATCTACTCGGGCCCTCTAACTAGGTAGCTTTTATCCCAACAGCATGCCATTGGGTCAGGCACCAAACAGGGCAAGGGCTCGTCTTCCTCCTCTCCTTTGTCCCACTTTTCTCTTCCAAACCCTGTCTCTTCTCATGATCTGTCTGAGCACCTCGTTTGTGTGACAGCCTTGAGACAACTGCGCCCTGCCCTCAATTCCCATACTCCTCATTTCCCAGCCCTCCCCATCTTCACCCAACAAGTCAGTGCAACACCACTCTCGGAAAACATGCCCAGAATAACTGCCTAGTCCATCCCAACAGTTTTGACAACTGGAATGAAATGGGTGAAAACGATAGAAGAGATTGTTTCTTGGTTTCTAGAAACCTAAATGTACCATGCTGAAATAACACAACAGCCATTCAGACAACACAACAGACCATTCTGCACAAGAAACCTCTGCAGCTTGGTGTATCGTGTGAACCTGCTATGAGCACAGCTGTGGGTAAACAAACCATAAAATAACATCCTAAAGCAGGCATGGGAACTTCTGACCCTTCAGTATATTGATGGACTACAGTGCCTGTCATACCTGATCATTGGCCTTCATGCTGGGGTTAATATGAGTTCAAGTCAAACAACAACTGGAAGATCACTGGAGGACCCCAACCCCTCTTAAAAAGGTTTTTTTTTTCCATGTCATGTTTTAGAACTTAATATTGAAATCTGCTGGTGCTTCCCCCTCATAGTATTAATATAACATCCATGTGCTTACATAGATTTCTTCTCTGTCCCAGTTTGCTATTCTCTGGATTCTCCAAATAGTATGAACAAGTACTTGGATGGAAGGGGCAGTAAGAAGGGATATACATTAGGAGAAGCTATGCAATTAGCAGCTTTCAAATTCAATTCTACATCATTCTAAGAGTTAATTACAAATCATTTTAAGAGTTAGAATTTACAGTATTCCACACTTTTCAGTTGAGGTGCACAGACTGAACAATACCCAAATTAGGAAAATTTTATTATATAGCACCTTAGGATATTTCACAGGCAAAAATACACAGGTCCCTATATCAAGAGGCTTAATGAATGGGAAAAAGTATGCAGGCTTATCCCACAGAGTGAAATACCTGTAAGGACAAGCACCACATTGATCTCCTCATTAAAATAGGCCTATCAAACTGGTTATACCAACACAGCAATCTGGACAAAGTGCTGCCTTTCCTTGTGGTGACATATGCTCACTCACATTACAAAGCACACTTTTTGTAGCAGGAAAAACACACAAAGAAATAAGGCCCCTGAGCTCCCTGCTTCATTATAATTTGTGATGACCCTTTAGCTATGTTTAGAAGATTGCAAGGAAAATGATGCTTTGGCTAAATTCAGAAGTATTTTGAGAAGAACTTCCTATCCCCCTTCTCTCCAATATATCAAGCACTGCTTGACTCTTAGATTTGATACCCTTCTGCTGCCTTAGAATACCTGGAAATCCACATAATAATTTAGAAACTCAATTTTCCATAAACAGATTCCAATAAGGTTTAGCCAGGTTATACAGACAGCTGTTAGGAAGGGAGAAATTGCTCACATTTTCAAGGTAAAATTTCACCTCTACTGAAAGTTACTGCTTTAATAATATTGTACATCTTGTGCCTTTAGATACATGGTTGCTATACCCATGCTATAACAACGTATCTATTTTATATTGGCAGTGATACATTGCAGGCCACAGAAGATTAGGCAGCAGAAGGTATAGGAAAATATATTAGAAAAAAATATTCAAAAATAGAGTTTTAATCTGTTAAGAAAAGCTACCTTTTGTTAAGGACACATTTGGATATTAAGCCTATAATTGCATTGCTGAGGTTTTAGCTTTTCTTGATAAGCCAAACTTCATTGTGTCTGTTCAGCAATTTAAATGGACTGTCATAGCCAGCACTGTAATAGACTTTTTCCTGAAAAGCTCTCCCATCCCGCTTCAGACTTTCAGCAAGTGCCAGTATTTCTTCTTGATTCTTTTTAGCATTGGTAAAGCCTCCAAATGATCTGTAAGAACAGCAAAAAATGCAACGTGTCATATGTGTTTACAAGAACGACAAAAGCTTTAAAAGACAGCTGTAAAGGACAAAAAGGCAGATCGAGCAATATTTTGCAGGTTCTAATGTGTTTTGAGAATCTCTTTATCAAAGTAAAACTGAAGAAGTGCTATTGTACTTCAATTAACTTATGTTGATGCAAAAGAGAAATATTTTACTGCACAGGGATTCAAAGAAATACAGAAGGATTTATCTGCAATGTCTCTGATGTATATCCTCACAGGAAAGTATCCTTGTGGCAGGTTATCATCTTTTACAGACAAGATCATCAGCAACAATATAAAGATGCGCCAAAGTCAGAACATCTTAAACCAATCCATTAGGAAAGTTGTGCAAGTTGCTTGTCCCTGTGAGAATGTTATCTGAGATGACAGGACCGTCTGAGCGCCCATTTGGGTAGTACTTGCCTCTGCGTTTGAACCAGCATCTCTGCATAGAAGCTGTATACACACAGGAGTGCATAATGCTCACAACTGGTGGCTCAGAAGTGCTGGCGTGATTGTGCCAACTGGGACAGTACAGCACCTGCACATGAGCACAGACGGTATAAAGTGTGTTGTAAACTCCTGAGGCCTCTGTGGGGCCTGGAAGCAAATACAAACCAGCTCTTAGCATTGCAGCTGCTCTGTGAAGTTGCTAACTTGTGTGTGAAAGAAGTCACACACAAATGAGTTCCAACGCTGCTTTTCAGGGAAAACAGTGGAAAGAAACAAAAAGCTTCTGTAGGTACAAATCTCTGCCTGATACTTAGAAATTGTTAGTGAAATATTTTCTACCAGTCAGGGCTATTTGTTGAAGAGCAGTTAGGATTTTTACAAGTCTACAAAGCAAATGGATCTGCAGCAAAATTAGTCATCAATGGAGGAAATGTCAGCTTTGCAACTGCAAAACCATCTTTGCAACTGCAAATCATAAACTTTAGGGTTGCTTTTACTTTTTTTAAGACCTCTGAAATTTGTTCCTTAACCAAACCTGTACAAAATATATTTAAGATTTACTTTCAATCACCACAAGGTGGCACACAAAAGATAGCAGAAAAGCCTTTTAAGGATTGATCAAAGAAATAGTGTCAATCATTCTGGGAAAATCTTATGGCCAAGCTAGACACCGGGGCAAGTAGGGGGGATCTACACTGGAGCCCCTTCTGTAAATCTAGGAGCACTGCTCCGGTGTTCATCCAACATAAAATTATTACTGTTGGGACACGTAATGAATACCATTTCCACTGTGTTGAAAATATGAGCTTGCGTTATACACAAATGTGGAAGTAGCAGGAACTGGAAAGGAAATACGTGCAGACAAGTAGCCCTAAAAATAAAGGTTCCCCCATCCATTAAATTATCCTGAATGAACAGAGATTATTTTTAAAAAGAAAAAAAGCTGCACATGCATCCTCACAAAAAATAATGGAGGCAAGATGGAGCCTGTGATGCTGCTTGCTGCAGTTTTCCTGCGTCCCAGAGGGTGAAGCCAGTGGCGTCAGTACCTGCATGACCTTCACTCAAAAGCAATTCCAGAAAGCAAATGCAGCCCTTCTCCAATGCTGACTTTCCATAGAAGCCCCACTGAAGACAATGCCATGGACTGTTAAGTGAGTGCTACTGAACACAATGTGATTTACTTCTGAGCAGAACATGTCTACTGGCATGTGGTTCGTGAAGGACAGATGTGTCATCGTGATGACTCTCCAGTTCACTGATGAACCCACTGGGGTGAGGGGCTAGAAGTGGCAAAGATGCTGCTCTTTTGTGGAAGCCTTGCAGTGCCCGTCCCCACCAGGCCAGTGCAGGCACCACAGCACCTCCCAGAGCAGTGCTGCAAGGCTGGCACGCACTAGAATATGCACCTTGGAACAGTGCAGATTCAAAGGCATTAAATTAAACATAAATATTGAACATTAACAGCATAAAAAATCGACCTCAAAAATCTGTGACATAATATGTCAATATAATAAATTATATTATAAATATAATAAATTCATCGTGATATAATCAGTGAGTCAGACTTTACAATTCTGGTAAAAATGCCTTGCGATTAATGCTTCCAGGTCTATGCTATTTGTCTTCCCAGTTGTTGTTTGAATCCCAGAGTAGCCTCTGCTTAGGTTCACATCATATTAAGGTTGTTAGAGTGAGGGCCAAAATAGCATGCAACAGAAACATACTTATTTTGACTTTTACATAGATACATTACTACATGCATATGCTATCAAGTACACATACAGATGCATAATGACCTAATGCTTACCTGACAAAGACAGTGATTGCTGGCTTGGTTTCAATGAACACATCAGCCTCTGTGGGCTTAGGTGGATTCGCCTGGTGTTGAGATGGTACATAAAAAGAGACGGTTGTTGTGGATTCACAGAATGGGCCAGCACCCGGCTGCACAAAGCATGTCACGGGAGCAGTCATATCTATCTTGATTCCTGTAAGAGGCAAGGTCAGGGCAGTACTTAATGTGTTATCCAAACATTTAAAAAGAAACTTAAATCCCAATCCTAAGGGGATTCACGGAACTCCTATATCATAGAGGAAACAATATTAGTAGTTCACATGGGAGTCTAATGTGTTCAAAATGGCTTGATCCTGGGGAGGCACAGCTGACAAAGGAGCATAAAACTTTAAATATTATTGCAAGCATCTGTGCTTTTTGCTTGCAGTCTTATCATTAAATATGGAGAAGCCTATAGCAACAGAGGAAGCTGATTTTTACTGAGTCAGACCACTGGTCAATGCCATCCAGGAGTATGAGATATGCATTCTTTTTGGCTCATGGGCACATTTGATCCTTTAAGAGACTGTCCTGGACACCACCGCAAAATGGCTGAGTTAGGAGGTGTGACAAAAGACGAGTAACTTACCCAAAAGGCCATTTATATAAGGCAGAGGCTCTACGTTCTAGCTTTCATGAAAGCCGACACTACATCACCAAACCCTAGTCTGCATTGACTTCTAGAATCATAGAATAGTAGAGTTGGAAGGGGTCATGAAAGCAATCAGGTCCAACCCCCTGTTGTTTCAGAACACCAATTTACACCATCTCATTCAGATGGCTGTCCAGTTCCTCTCAATGTCTCTTGTGTTGGAGAGTCCATGACATCTCTAGGCAGCTAGTTCCACTGTCATGTTACTCTGATAGTGAGGAAACTTCCTGCTATCTAGCCTGAATCTGGGTTGTCACAACTTGAATTGATTATTCCGTGTCCTACACTCTTGACCTTCCTCTTGGTAATAGCCTTTGAGATACTTATACAGGGATATCATGTCCCCCCTCAGTCTTCTCTTTTCAGGGCTAAGCATTCCCAGTTCTCTCAGTCTCTCCTCATAGGGCAGTGTTTCCAAACCCTGGATCATTTTTGTTGCCCTCCTTTGGTCCTTTCTAATTTTCTAACTTGTAGCAGCCCTCTAGGAATTTAGGCAAGCGATTTTCCATCTCATCCAGATGCTGAAACATGGAACTTCTGCATGCAAAGCAGATGCTCTGCCCCAGAGTTATGGTCTTTCCCTTTGATCAATAGGTGGAAGTGTCTCTTTTTAGACATTTCCAAAGCACGCCTGGCTTCCTCAGCAACTGATAATGGAGGCAGCATATAGCTAATCAGGCTTAGCAGATGCTGAGAACTCTCCCCTCCCCCGGTGTGGAAGTGAATTCCATCATTTTACTATGAGCTGTGAAGAAATACTTCCTTTTATCTGCCCTTTTATCATGGAAAGATCCTGGGTTCTAGTGTCATGAGAGAAGGAAGAAAAAAGTCTCCCTGCCCACTTTTTCCACAGCATTTATAAGTCTGTGTACACCTTATCTTTTTTCTAAGGTAATTCTCTTTAATCTTTTCTTACAGGGGAATTGCTCCAGCCCACAGGTCTTTTAGTTGTACCATAGATTTATAAAAGGACAATAGGATATTGGCAGATTTATTTTCAGTTCTTTTTCTAATTATGACATAGGGTTCGTCTTTTTCACAGCAGCCAACACTGAGTCAACATTTTCATCAAACTGTCCATCACAACCCCAAGATCTCTTTTGGCCAGTGTCTGCTAGCTCCAATCTCATCAATTTATTCTTAAAGCTGGATAATTCTTTTGCTCCCAACATGCATTACTTTATATTTGCTTATGCTGAGTTGCATTTGTCATGTGATAGAGAGTTAATATCTTCCCTTTCTGGAAGTGTGGAAGCAGTAGAGGACAGTGAAAATTATCAGCCAGAAAAGTGCATCCCACTTTTGGTTCACCTACTTTCAGTGCCTTTTCTGCTTTACTTTTCAATTGTCAGCTAGGGCCTTCTTACCAAAATATTTAACATCTCCCTAAAATCAGCCCTTGTACCAGAGGATTAGAGAATGGTCAAGGTAACACCAATTTTTAAAAAGGAATCTGGCTAGTTGCAGGCCAGTTAGCTTATTTTCTGTTCTGGTAAACTGCTTGAAAGCATTATTAAAGATAGATCAGTAAGCACCCAGAGGGACAAGCCCTGCTGAAATCAGCACGGCTTTGTCAAGGGGAGGTCTTATCTCACTAACTCATTGGAGTACCTTGAGTCAATGAACATGTAGACTGAGGCAATGCAGTAGACATTGTTTACTTGGACGTCCAAAAGGCTTTTGACAAAAGTCCCTCACCTGAGCAAGGCTCCTGAGCAAACCAAGCACTCATGGAGTAGGGGAAGGGGAGAGTCCTCTTGGTGTTCACTAACTGGCTAAAGAACAGAAGACAGAGGGTAGGAATAAATGGCAACTCCTCCCAGTGGAGAGATGTCACCAGTGGAGTCCCTGAGGGTTCTGTATTAGGACCAGCGCTTTTCAACCTATTCATAACTGACCTGGAGGAATGAAGAGGCCAAGTATGCTGATGACACTAACCTATTGAGGGTTGTTGAAAGCAAAAGGGTTGCTCCAAAGGGATCGTTCCAAGCTGGGCGGATGGGCATCAAAATGGAAAGTGCGGTTTGACACAGGCAAGTATGAATACTGGGGCCAAAAATCCCACCTTCAAATATACACTGATAGAATCTGAACCAACAGTGACTATGGCTGAATAAGGACAAGAACCTGGATTTCCTAAGTCCCGGTATAACACTGTTAACCACCACGCCACACTGGCTCTTCGTTAGGCTTACTAGACAGGAGCATACCACGCAAAATGCCAACTTCCATGCTAAAGGGTTAGCAACATTTAAAAATATTTGAGAGTGCACCTGACAAATAATATGAATGAACTGTTCCAATACAATTATAAAAGATTTTCACAATCTGTAAACAAAATATTTATTCTGTTTTCAAATGCTGCTCATATAGGTCTACTAGGACAATCAGTCAGTGGCAAAGATAGTTAATCTCTCACCATCTAAAACTCTTTCAATGGCTGCTGTGAAAGGAGAGTTGAGTGTGCCAGATTTGCAGCTATATTACAAGGGTTCCCAGTTGCACAGGATATTTCAATATGTTGTAACTATGTAATTCTGCAGATTTTACAAGTTGTTCCAGCCCCCAATCATTTTGTTGCCCTTCTCTGTACTTTTCCCAACTCAAGATTTTCCTTTTTCAGGTAAAGCGACCAGAACGGAACACAATATCTAAGTGTAGTCTTACCAAAGATTTGTATAAGGGGACTAAGATTTCAGCAGCATCATTTTCTATTCCTTTCATAATTATGCCTAGCATGGAGCTAGGCTTTTGTGCAGCAACTGTGCACTGGGCCAACATTTTCATCAAGCTGTCCACCACTACCCCTTACTTGTTCAGCACTGGGGATTCATGCTTCCCTGCTTATGTATGTAGCTGCATATGGAGCTCAACATTTTTTTTTTTAAATGGAGGATGGAGGGGCTATAGAAACCTCTTGTTGCCCAGCCTGGTCTTTGCCAGCAGGGCTTTGGATAGACAGAGTGCGCCAAGATAGGGGCCCTCTACTGAGCAGTAATGCCAGAGGATTGTGCTCATAATGCTTTGAAGCAGGAATAGATAATATTAGGATTATGGCCAGTTAAGTGAATTGTGGATTAAGACACAATTGGCATACACCTGGGCAGAAGCCAGGAGTATACACTGTTGAGTGGCCAGTTCATATTATGTCCAGCAAGAATAAACAGCTTAAATGAAGAACAAGGGGACAAAAATACAACTGAAATACGGAAGTTAGATTTTGCAGTATTCACAGCTCTCATCTGAGCTACAAAGACTGCAGTGAGTGAGACTCACACTCACTGTGACTTCTGTTTTGTATTACGTCTGTGTTCTGCTTCCCTGATACAAACATCCACCCTGCAAATTGGCCTTTGGGTAAGCTGCCCTGTGACAGCAAACTATAAATTGGAGATTACCTGTGAGTTGTTTAACCTATGATCAATCTATAGGGCTCTTTTGTTCAACACAGTCAGGGCAGCATGGATTATTTAACCCATGCTGAACTATGTGTGGCCTCTGATTGGAGGTTCTACTGTTTCATGTGAACTGGTTACTAACTGAGGACTATGTGTGGGTTGTGTTATGTACCCTTGAATCACTCTTTGTAATCAGATTGTGAGTTGCATACTCAAAATAGCAGTTCACTGTGGGCAATTAAATCCATTATAAATTCACCATGTCATGTGAACCAAGTTATACTTGCCTGGGTCCAGATTTTATTAACCCAATTCAAAATGACTACAGAATGCACCCAGCATTCCCTACGTGAAATCATAGGATAATCGAGTATGTGTGAAATATGTAAGCCCGGCATTTGTGTTTTTCCTCTTGAATGGGAAAGACTGACTGCAGGGAAGCAGTAGAGTATCAGCTGATCAAAATATACCCTACCTTTTTCATTCTTGCCCTTAATATAGTTAAAAAGCTTCGTAAAACCAGTACTGATGGCTGAGTCCCAGTCCACAGTCTTGACAGATGTGCATACCCACTTGGCAGCTTCATACTGTCGAATTTCATAATCTGTAGCCTGAACAAAACAGGGAAGACAAATTATGACTGTATTAATCATCTTCATACTATAAATGCAGAATGCTCAAAATAAATTAATTAAAAGTAGAGTGAAAACTGCAAAACAGAAAGAGTTAAATTGGTTCTGTCCTAACTCTAGACAAAGAAAATGCATTTGCACAATGCACATCACTAGTATGGGACTAATTTTTGTTAACAAAACAACAAGACCTTTTCTAAATTTTCTCTCTCAATTTTCACTTTTCAAAATTTTATCTCAAAGACTTTTACCATTGCTAACCTGGAGCAAGGTCCTATACTACACACTTAATAGTGAATTAGGGCATAACTAGACATCACACACAAATGAATAATAGTTCACAAATGTTTTAGATTAAAAAAATATATGTAGCTATGAGAAACTGCTAACCAGTGCAAATAAATTTGTGGATGAAGAGGAACTGTTTCACTTTCACCCATCTTGCCAATTTCTTAGTCAAAACTTCCATCTGCTTCTCCATCTACAAGCAGAAAGATTTTGAGGGTGATACTGAATGGGAAGAATTACTAAAAGTGTAATCCTATTGAGATTATTTTATGCAGGGTGGGAGAAACATCAAAAGCACTCTTCACTTGCGAACATTTTTGCACATCCAGCAAAGGTGTTTTGGAGGGGAAGGGAAATAGACTGGAGAGGTCTTGGGATAGCTGATATTCCTAACCACCTTAAACGCTCCTTCTCCCGCATCTCTTAGGTTGCATTCCTCACTTTGGAGAGATAGCTGACATGGTTCTTTCTGTGAAATGGGAGGGCAAGGAACAGTGGATTTTACCCTCCATTGTTGGAGCACTGTGTATGACCTTGGATCTGGAAATCGAGAATATCCTATGGCCCCTCATTTGCTGTGTAAGTGCCAAAGGAGTATTCTGTCCAGACAGAAGTATTAGTAAGTTTTCCACCTAACATTCCTGTAAGAACACCATCCTAAGTTTCTCATGACTGATTTTTATAAAACAAAAAGGATAAGAGGACAAGAAAAAGTTTAGAGAATGCTTCATGGTGTTGCTGTGTAAATTGATAGTAATCCTAAATAAGTGTTAAATAGATAGGTTTTCTAATGTAGCAATACTCTGCTAGTAGACATTCAAGCACAGCCACCAAATATTTGATTAGTTATCAATAAGTGAAATTCATTCTTGCCGGACAACTCCTTATCATCCTCATACTTTTAGTAATGCCTTCTGGAATAGATCCCTAGGTTGTTCAGGAACATGAGGACTATTCCATGTGCAAATCTCAGATAATCAGTCCCCACTCTTCTTGTATGGTAGATCTCCCTTTGGTTGATTCTAGAAATCTAAACCCTAGTCACCTGGTTTGGCAGTGCTGTCCATTTGGGCATCTCCAGCCCTGTAGAAAAGAGTGCTTGTTTTATAGTCTTCAACATCCTGAATAAAGAAAGGAACACAGTTATGGGTAGCACCATCATACTCTGGGTCGCTTTTTGTGTGTGCAGGTCTGAGAGTTCATTCAAGTCCTGAAAACAAATTCCTGGCCTAAACATATGCTTAGAGGCACCCTGTCCTTTAAGAGTAGGTTTTATTCCCCTCCCCACTGTTGCTTCCAGTTGGTAGTCCTTGAGGTTCTGGTGATATCCCACAAGTCTACTCCACTACTAGCTTATTCTAGCCTTCTAGCACCAGATTTTTGGACCATGGCTCCCAGAACCCTGACTAGTGCCCAAGCTATTTAGGGCAGATGGAGAGAAACAGGCTGGTGAAGGACGACACGTTCCTCCTAGATTTCGTATCTTTCCTTCATGAAAAGCTCCGTGCCTTGAGCAGCCTGAGGACATGCACACATTCCCACAAGTACAGCGTTTTCCCAGTACAGAATATAGAGTTGGAAAGTTACACTTGCTGACTTTTGGCTTGTTACACCGGTGTGAAGGGTGCAGATTCTCTATCCTCAGCTGAAGCCCTGCAAAGCTCCTCTCTCAGTCCCTCTCTCCCACACACACACTCACCTTTGCTAGCCCCGCACCTTGCTTTCTTCAGTACTGTCCGAAGCAAACTGCTCCTCCTCTTCCGAACTCAGAAACTTACATAAAGCCGCAGCGCCTTATGCAATGATATTTGGCAGGCTGTACTAGCGGCGGCGCAGGAACCACCCCTGGGGGATGTGGCGAGGCGGGGCTGCCTCGTTCACACTGCAAAGGAGGGAAACAATCCCGCTTTCCGAAATCGTGTGCTGCAAAGGGGGTGCTGACGGCACCTCGCGGGCGGGGGAGGCATTTCGCCGCCTTTGCAGGCGGCCTGCGCGGAGAGCTGAGATTAGCTGCGCTGAAGCGGCGGCAAAGCACGTCGCCTGGGCGAAGGGCGGCTGTTTTGCTTGCCGGGGCGGTGGGCCGGGAGCGCGCGCTTGGCTTGGCCCCACTGCAGTGGGACTCGGTGTCAGATGTCGCTTGTTGTGCTGGCACAGCGGCTCTGGGGAACGCAAGAGTGAGCTAATGGCTCATTGTCATCTGCCCCAAGAGGGAGGGCGAGCAGAGATGAAAAGGCCCCTTTGAAAGAGCAGGAATTAGCATCTCTCCCTCCTCTTCCCTCCCACGCCATCACACTGCTTTTTTGTGAGGCAGCATTAGGCCCCTAAGTGCTGCCGCTATCAGCAGTGCTGCAGAATGCGCGGGGGCGCGCTTCGCCTCGGCCCCGGGCGGGTTTCTCGCATTCTGAGCAGCCCTCGTGACCGAAGGGCAGCGAATTCTCCTCAAAGGAAGCTGACGTGCGGGGGCGACTTTGGCCCGCGAATCTACTCCCAGGGTGATCCACAAACTGTTGTATGTTTTCAGTTTAGTTTGAATTTAACTCTTGATTTAATTGTTTTGTGACCGACTTTCTTGCAATGCCGCGCCACACTTAGCAACCCAAATTGGGCACTCAGGTTGTGCCTGTGTTTGAACTTGGGTGCTCCAAACAAAGGCTATCACGTTCAATTACTCAATCTTTTCCATGATGGATCTGTTTTTGGAGTGGGGGGACGAGGAAATGACAGAAGAAACAGTGAGGAAATGAGGGTCATAAATGGTGGTTGAACATGTCAGGAATGGAAGCCGCTATAGAGCACATGTAAGCAAGGACAGTTGCAGCCTCAAACATTTGGCTTCCATTTGTAACCCTTTTCAGTTTTCTCTCTTATCACGGAAAATCAGTTAAAACGGGGAGATTGCAATAGCTGCACAATGCCTTTTGATGGGTAGTGCTTGGAGTCATCTGGTTGCATTCACAGACCATATCCAATAAAATAGTGCTAGTAAAAATTTGCAGTCACCCACATATACAGTAAAGCCAATAGTCAAAGTCTTGATAAGACTGTAAAAGGCTTTCCAAGCATATGTGCAGCAGAAAAACATAAAGGGGGAAAAAAGATCATCCTGAGTAAGAAAGACTGACAGGGAATTACAGCCAGTGGATAAGAGAAGCTCTGGACATATTAAGCAATTATTTTGCATCTGCTTTTATAAATGAAAGCCCAGACCGAATGAAAATCAGATTTAAGGGGAATTAGTTGATGTAGAGATAATATCTAGAATGTGGATTTTATTTTTTTAAGGGGTTGATGCTCTTTAAACTGTAGTTGTTCTGAGCTACATGGCATACGTTTCAAGCATTAAAGTGGCTAAACTTATGTAGTAGCTTTGAGAAAAATGTTTAGTTATGTTTACATAACTTAATACTGACTCTGTGATACAATAAACTATTATAACGATAGAACACCATTCTGTTTATCATAGTTATCAGATTAACTTACCAACCAAAAAAGTAGGACACTGAACGAGGTACCATTTCAAATAAAGCAGCAGTAGGCAAACCAAGACCAAGCTCTCTGGGCTCTCAATTTAACTGCAAGACACACACGAAATTTTGCCAGCTTTTCGGTAACTACAGGGCTTGTGTCGGGTAAAATATAAGACATGTAGAACATGTTATCTTTACCGGAGACATTAAATAATAGCTGTCAAATTAATATCTTGATTTAATATCTTAATTTCTCTCAATACCTGGATAAAAATTACACTATTGTAGAACATGCATCCAGTCCCCTGAACTACAAGGACATTAAGGCTCCAATGGAAAATACTTACTGAATTTTATACAGTTGATAATTCTTATTGATAATGATACCATACCTGAATGAAATGTGAGGAGGAGAATAAGGGGAGGAAATGTTAACCTATATGCAATATCATATATTGGTGCAGTGTTAAACAACTGTGACCCACCTATTCTTGCTCAACTTTGTTGTAGCCCCATAGAAGAGGCTGTATGGGCAATGTCCTTGTTAGGGCTGAAAAATGCTCTAGAAATGCTCGATAAAAATTAAATAATATGAAATATTGGCCCTTAATAGAGTCACAGCTTCACAACAACTATTTTCAGTATCATATTACCATATTTTCCAGCTTCCCACTGCCCATCTTGCTCTGCTCAAGACTGCACTTTCTCCAGCTGCTTTTCTTTTTTTATCAAATTTCATTAGCTACTGAGAGCCAATATAGTGTAATGATTAGAATGCTGGACTGGGACTGAGGACACCTGGTGTCAGTTGCATGCTTGGCCATAAACTCATTGGATGCATTTGGTCCAGTCACTAATTCTCAGCCTGAATTACCTTATAGAGTTGTTGTGGAGACAAACAGAGAGAAAAGGGACCTGTATGCTGCTTTGGGCTCCCTAGCGGAAAAGTTGAGACAAACTATAATAAATAAATTAAACATTAAACAAAAATGTTAGGAAAAATTGCATGCTAATGTGTGTAACTAGTAACAGCCCAAGACATTTTGCTGCCTCGCACAGAGTCCAATTGACTTTGTTAGGGCCAACATTTTAAAACTTTTCGAATTCAGACACCAATTCCAGCCTTCAGCCATCCTTTGCTTAGGTCACTTCTTCCAATGGCATGGCAGGATTGGTCCTGCATGTCGCATGCTGTTTTGCCCTCACTAACAGCCTGTGTATGGACCATACAGCATCAAGTTGCAGGTGCGAGTATGACAAAATGTTCTGCTAAACAAAATAAAACAACGCTGCCACAAAAAAAAGTAAATGTCAGAGTAAAACCAGGCTTGGGTCCTGGTTACCTGAAGGAGCGCTTACGTCCATATATGCCCAGCCGCTCCCTGAGATCAGCAGGAGAGGCCGTCCTCCGGGAGCCCTCAGTGAAGGAAATTAGGAGGGTGGCTACTCGGAGGAGGGCTTTCTCAGCGGTGGCGCCTAAGTTATGGAATGCGCTCCCCAGAGAGGTCCGCCTGGTGCCGTCGTTATTTGTTTTTCGGCGCCAGGCGAAGACCTTTTTATTTAAGCAGCATTTTAAATGTTAATATTATTGAATTTTATTTGGCCAGGGCGGCTTATTTTATTCTATTGGATATATTTTAATTGTTATTGTTTTAATTTATTGTGTATTTTATTAGATGTTGTAAGCCGCCCCGAGGCTTCGGCAAGGGGCGGCATAGAAATATTTTAATAAATAAATAAATAAATAAAAGTTTCTATCCTGGCTTTATCCCTGGGTATTCTAGCTTCTATGTAGAATTTTATGCATTTTAATTTGAAGAAACATTCAAACATTTGAACTTATACTACTAGTCTCAAGTTACACAGCTTAAGTACAGGTTTACCACTTTAGTTGGTACTTGTGAGAAGTAGGTCAGTGTCTGCTTAGCCTGTTGATCTCTTGTAATGAACAGAACTAGTTTTTATTTGAGATTATGACTTAAGAAATTACACACACATCTATGATCTGAAGGGCTGGAAAAGTTGCTATATAGAATTAAGGTTACAGCTTTTGTATTTGCTTTTGTGGATTTGGTATAAAAGTGAATTAAATAGACTGAGAGATAATTGAAGATTGGGAATCCAGGGAGGGAAAAGCAGGTCCATAAGAGGCTTATTTCTGGCCTGGACTTGTTCTGTGTTATTACTTTTCATCTTTGATTCCATCATTCTGTATAGGCTGTTGCCTGTTAGGAATCGCCAGTGTGCTGGATAAAGAGTTGATAGCATTATGGTATGAGTTCTCCCATGATTTTCTGCGTTTTGCACAAAAGCTCACTGTTAGAAATGCCTCTATCAATTGCAAACATGGCACAGTTGTGACTTCTTGTGGAGTGCTGTGCTGAAAACTTCTTTCTCATTTTTTCAACCATTCTTACTCAGTTTGATAGGGAATGAATTGTTTTTGGAAAAAAATATAAAAATAATTTTTTTAGGAAGGGGGAATTCTCATGGTAGGGTTTGTAGTTTGTATGCTTACCTTTTTTTTTAAGTTGAGCATGCTGTGTGTGCATGAATGCCCTATCTTTCCTTGTACAATCATCTCTCTAGCAGACTCATGGTTTGCCATAGTTCAGTTAAAGCCCAGGAAAAGACGTTATAAGGTAATTCCTCCCATAAGGTTTTTTCAGATCAGGCTTCATGGGTAACTAGGGAGGCTGCACAGTGATGGGGAAACGTGTTAGGGAAAGAATATAAGCACCCAGTATCCTCAGCCACCTTGCAATGAGAAGGTAAGTATGAAAACAACATCAGGCAATTAATTAAATTGAATAATTAAATTAAAGTGTGCTGAGAATGAGATGGAAGAATGGAAGGCTCTTTCATGAGAAAATAAAACTTTATGGAAATTGGAGGATTGACTTTTGACAGATTAGATTAATAGCCAAAAAACTAGTATTCATCATTAATATTATGGGTGGGTTTTTGTGGTGGGGGCTTGTGCCATATGAATGTTTTTGTTGCAGTGGTTCTATAGTGTCAGCTTTGAAATTGGGAGAACTAGACTGGAGAATGATAGAAGCATATTTCATATGATGAATCTTTCATATGAAGAAGCAAGAAGTGTTTGAACAGGCTCACCTATGCCCCAAGTCTCAATCTACTATGTGTAGAACATTGCATGTTAGGTGATACATGTGTATGCATATCCACAGAATGCTAACCAAATAAGGCATATTCACCATTCCTAAATGTCATTCTACGCATAATCAAGTTAGATGCACATAAGAATGTGAACTCAAGAAATACTGGTGTGTCCCACTCTGATTTGAGTCTATCCAC